TATTTCTATGAAAAACAAACTCATTTGGATAGTTGTGATGAAATAATAAACTTACTGAAAAAGTATCACAGCGCCTACATTATGATGAATTGTAATAGTGTTGTTCAGTCCTTATTTTTCCACCTTACTGGTGGTATTTCTTCTTCAAACTTGAATGGGACCAAACGGGAAATATACCCTCTCAAACAAAAAAAGAATTTTCTAAATCAACCCATAAATGGCGGAGATCTGAGGTAACAGACATCATTGAATTTTTCTTTTCCAAGGTTTTCTAATCATTATAATAAAAAGGTTTCTGTACAGATTTTTTTTTTTGCAAACGAGCAGTCGGCTCGCTGTATGGTAAGTGCTTACCGCCGCTTATAATTATTTGGAACACAGTCACCTCTGAGGTACGCTTCTTTATAGAAGTCAGTTAATAGAGATCATTTTTGATCGATTAATTCTGGGCAGTTTACAGATGGGATCATTTCTACACAATACGGTCCAATTGTTAAGGGTAGCATACAAGGGAGAGGGGGCTTCTGGGTCACGTAGTAGGGTACATTCCCAAATACACAGTCAATAGCTGGTTTTATAGAACTCAGATAGGTAAGATGAAGACAGCTGTCCACCAGTGCTGCTGGTGTGGTATTTGTGATGAGCAGACGCGTCAGAGCTCCAGTGGGAGTGTCAATACATATATACAGGGTTGGTTTATATTTATCGAAATATGTAGCGAATTATGTAAAAAAATTAATTTTTATCTACAAATGCTATTAATATTAGACATATAAAACTTTGTGTGGATATTGGTTACTCAATTAAACTAGAACTGCTGAACGGCGATAAATTATAGTCTAGAATACAGATCGGCTTGCAGGAGGTTATCAAAATCATCTACACATACGAATAAATAAAAGTGGAAGTATCTGGTAGTAACGTCATAATAATATCGTTTTACTAAACGAATCTAAGTCTGTATAGATAGTTCAACTCAGTTGTGCGCGCGGCCCTATGTGTGCGTGGGCTTGTAAATATACAAGTTTCATTCGTGTGGCAGTGACGCGGCAGTCGTCGTCCGAGCAAGACGTGTGGCGCGCACAACTTAGTTGAACTATCTATACACGATACTTTAACAAAATAATTTTTTGTATGTCTGTCGGTTTGCTCTGAGTAATCTCCGGAACAGGTTTCTTTACAGCGGGTGTTATAAAGAGTTATTTAGGGCAATTTTATTTTTAAATGGTAACTTTTTATAAAAAAAAAATAGTACCGTTCTCGAAAAACCTGCATTTACTGTAATTTTCCTAGGAAATCATCAACATTGTGAAGAATAGGGATCCCATCTCTGCAGCAGCCCGGACAGGTATACCATCACGTTACATTCAGTCGACGATGTTCACATACACTACAATATAAAATACAGACACAGTATTTATTCATTTTATACATAAATTTTATTTATTTATTTCATTTTTTATTGTTTCTCACTTACAAACTAACTGTACAAAACGTTACAATAGTGTAACACAGCGACATAAACACTATATTCATTTATGTACATAATCTGCCTTTAAATAGTCCAGTGTTCATCAGTAACATCATTGGCTGGCTAATGTGTGAAATAACTAAATGTTAGCATACTTATTTTATACCACAGTGATGTATATTAGCTGTATTTCAATATATACATATGTTTTCGACTTAATTTTTCTTAAATAAAATTATTGTACATTTCTGTTTATTATATATGAATTAATGATTTTAAATGTAATAATTGGATCCTGTTAACAAAGAAACTCATCAGTTAATAAAGAGCCGACAACTCTGGTACCCAGACAGCTTATTTTTTTTCTAATAAATGATTTTAAAAATGCAAAAACCTAACTTTAAGTTGATAGTATATTATTGTACCAATAACATTTTTGGGAAAATATTTACAAACAGGTAATAAAAAATTACATATGGTTGGATATTTTCTCCTAAACAGGGTCCAATTATACATTTCTATATTAATATCATAGTCATAAAATCTCTAGTCGTAAAACAAAATGACCGGGAATTGCTATTTTTTCCGAATTCCTAAATTAAATGCGGAATTTTTGTACAAAAATTGATTTAGTTCAATGTAACTTAAATAACTTTTAAATAAAGAGAGATTCGCTGTCATGTCATTATTTCTCACACACAGCATCTAACTTAGTTTTTTCGGACTTTAGCCAGTCATTTTACATAATATTCATATTAAAAAATAACAAATATATATAATTTCCTCTGAATAATTTTACTATGGCATCGCATTAACACTTTCTATTTGGAAACAATAATATTATATTAACATTTATATTTCATTTTGTGTAGAACATTATTCACTATTACCGTAATGGAGCGCTTATAACATGTCTGTCCGTTGCAGGGTACTAATGTTATTTATGTATATACAATATCACATATTATGTTGGATGATCTGCAGTTCAACTTGCTGGAATCGAACCCTGAACCGCTCGAGTTATTGCTTATACAACCCTATCCATCCCTTCCCTAGTTACTTGCCTTAAAAGTGTCCAGTAAAAGGCAAAATGCGGATGGTTACAACGTCTTTGTCTACCCTTCTTGAGGTATGTAAGCGTGATGGTACGGTACAGGTCTACTTTCTCAATAGAAACTAAAATATACGTTATATTGTAGTCCCTAGTGAATAAAGAGAGAACGATACTTTCCCTGCGCAAGCGCACACCTCAGTTTGAAGGTTTCTCATTACCCTGGTCCAGTACATCATCACAATCGCTTCATCACTTCCATATTATTATATTTTGTACGCAAATATTTCAACTTTTATATTAATTATATACATTATTATAAATGCACTCACTTTTCATAATCACAATTTGCATGTCGACGCCATCGTTCAAAGCAAACAGTTTGTCGCTGACTATAGAACACGCAAAAAGTTTGCTGCTCACTCAATAAAGTTAGCCGCTTATATAGTTTGAAATTACAGTATATTGCAGCTAACCATACAGTGATTTTTATGTATTATTATACACTTTATTGTAAGTCAAATGAAAGAAAATAAAATTGTACACTAAACTTATTTCTAAGAAAGCTTACCGCTTGAACATGAATAGTAGGCCTATACACTTTAGAGTTCAAAACGACAAAACGAAATTTACCCTTCCAGTTAGCCCTAATACCGCCTGGTAAAATCTAAGAAAAGCATATATCGAACTATTCAACAGGCGAATATCTACAAAATAAAAGCCTCTGGCTAGTAAAGTAAGCTATTAACTCCTATACAGTTAGCCGCTCACACTGTACATTTTGCGACAAACTGTTTGCCTGACATATATAGTAACTACATGTTTTAGGTGCCGCCAGCATTCTATACTAACGGTTGGCTAACTGCAGTAACTAATACCACTGTATACACATTGAGTTATCTTATTTTAACAATATTTTGACCCTTTTTTATTAATACATTTTTAAGATGGCTTTAAAATAATTAATTAATTCATTACTTATTGTTTTTGTGTATTATTTAAACGGTAATAACTGAACAAATGGCGCCTTTGTTAAGTGGTCGCCTCGTTACTAAGCCACGGTGATTGTTGAGGGTTCGCCACCTACCACTGCCACTATAAATTTTCCTTTATTATCTCTTCTCTTTTAAAAAAAAATCAAGTTATATGGTCAGGGGGGGCAGAAGATTAATTCGCCCTCTGGTGGCTACAGAAGTGGGGAATATATCTCCCGAACCTCCACACAATACATTTTAAAATTTAATTCATTATACATTATTATTTTTGCTGCAGTTTATACAATGTTGTAAGACTCAGCTATTGGTTGGCGCTTCACCTAAGTATACGAACGAGGCCTGTCCACTATGACACGAGGGGAGACCGTCCTGTCACATCGATATATGTCATATATATATATATATATATATATATATATATATATATATGTATATATATATATTACTATATATAAATAGGCATCAAATTTCTATATAATTAATCAATTTCAATACCGTGCGTCTCTTTCTAACTGTGAACTGAAGACAAGGATAGAATATTGTGGATTGTATGAAATTAAGTTTATTTGATAACATATATTTAGACGTAGATACGCAAAAAGGGTTAAAACCCAAAATATGACACTTGAGATACTGAAAATTGAATATTTTATATTTATTTTTTTAATAAAGACTTTACAAACAAACATACATGAAACGGACACAAAGAATACAAAGACTAAGAACAACAATTTGTGGATCACACAAACTGTCGTCCCATGTGGGGTTTGAACCCACTACACTCGGTGTAGTAGTAAGCGGCGTGGTGACCGCTTAAACCACTACGCCATCCGTGCAGTCATTGATATTGATTTTATTGAAATTAAATAATCATTTTTGGAAATATTTAAGTTAATGTGGAGTTAGCTCATTTTAGATCATACCGTGGGTTGGATCCTTTTTGCGTATTTACGTACATTTAAGAATATTCCATCCTGGTCGACCAGTTATTACAATTAGTACCGTATTGTATTGTCTTTCTGTCATTGAAGAGGAAAAGGTGAGATTTAATCAACTATAGTGGATATATCTTCTGTCTACTTCTTCGGAGAAGTACAGGCGATCGCGTATGTATATGTTACAGTTACAACTCTTAACCGGTTAAAAGTATTTTTGACTGAGAGGTCATACTGTTAAAACCTTACTTAACTTAAATCCTTAATTAATAATATGGTTGGATACGTAGCAGTCAAAAATACTATTGCCCAATCATATCACACAACAACAGCCTTCAGTAGACCACTGCTGGGGGTTGACCTCCCTTTAGAAAGGAGGTTTTGGCCTTGCTCACTGCTGTTTAAAAATTTAAAAAGTTGAAGTACGAATGAGTATAATATAATCTGTTCTGTTCGCAGCGGGCTCGAGACGCACAGAGGCCGGCGGGCGGGGGCGGCGCGAGTGGAATGTGTGGGGGGTGTGTGTGGGGGGGAGGGGAGGGGCGGGGCTAGCAGCGCGCGGGGGGCGGGGCGCCGCTCGGCGAGGGCTTGGGCGGCAGGCGAGGCGCCGCGCCGCTGGAACACACACACACAACTCTCTTACCATCATGTCTCTGATATTCCACTTGCCGTCTGACTGACGATTCTAGCAGTCATTGGTTCAAAATAGCTTATTAAATAGCAAGCCTTTCCTTCAGTCATTGAATGTATTCTTACAATGGAACAGAAGTATGTAACAGGAACTGCGCTAGAACTAGAATGTCGTCAAAGGCAGGTGAAATTTCAAATATTTTTGTATTTTTAATATTGTGTTTATTTTAAAATAAAACACTAAACCTGTCATATTTAGTTCAATGGATGTTAGAACTAGTGATGTGCTGGAAACCTGTACTAGTATCCATTTACATGAATATGCAAATAAGAAAAAAAACATACCTATTCGTTTTTACGCTTTGACTGTGTATTTATTTAATACAACTAAATATTATTTAATATGATTATAAAATGTAATGTATCCTAAATAAGAATTAAATCTTTAAATAGTTTATTTATTTTTCAAAACGATTCGGTTAGGAGTTTACTTTTCTTTTAAATAAATTAAAAAAGTTGGCAAATTTTTTAATGCAGTGCATTAATATTTTATGAAATACTGATTATCTGTATTGCCAACCTCAAATCTTTTTATTTTTTAAAGACAACTCCCGCATTAAGAATATATCCTGAGTAGCGGGGGACTTTACAAACATATATGAAACGGACACAAAAAACACCCAGACTCAGGAGCAACAATTTATGGATCACACAAAGTGTCGTCCCATGTGGGGATCGAACCCACAACACTCGGTGTAGTAGTGAGCGGCGTGGCGACCGCTTAAACCTATTAAAATTAAAATATTTAAAAAAAAAATTCGCTGTATAAATTAAAGTGAGCTGTTAAATAAAATATTCAGCTCTCAACATCAACTTTTGTTTCAAGATAATAGGTATAGGCATTAAATGAGGAAACCTAACAATCAGAGGGCCTAGTGCCAGTTTATTTCAAATCAACTTGCGTGCGATCGCCGCACCGACCTCTTCAGCGTACGCGGTCGAGTGCGAGTCCACCCCCCCGTACAGGTTCCCGGTGAGGTACTCACGTATTGTTGTGGTGCCTGCGCTGCAGGATGGTGGAGTGCGCCGGCCGCAGCAGCTCGGGGGGAGGGGCGGGCCGCGGGGGCAGGGGGGGAGGCGTGCACGCGCACGTGGCGCTCGACGACTGCAACCGACCGACTACATTACACATACTACTCAAACCCAAACTCTAAATATCTATATTTCATTAAAAAATTGTTTCAAACCGTCTGAAATTCTAAAGTTATCTACACACACATCAACAGACTTTAATAGTTTAATAAATCCAACGCAAAGATATTTGATTGCTTCAGTGCGTGAGATTCTCATCATCATCATCATCAAAAGCCTTTATTAGTCCCCTGCTGGACATAGGCCTCTCCTTAGAAAGGAAGTTTTGGCCTATTCTGCCAAACGGGTTGGTATAGGGTTTGTGTCAAGTTTTCTTTCTCTTGGCAGTGCTGTTGTTCTGCGTAGTTGTCTCCCTTAGTCGGCTCTTACGACACCCACGGGATGCAAAGGGGGGGGGGGGGGGGTGACGCTCTGTATTCTTAATACGTCACCACACAACACTAAACACATACACAAAAAAGAAAAATAAAAACTAAACATGTACAAACATAGATAGTCTAAAATTACAATGGTTCCAGCTGTTTTAGTCAAGACTGCACTTTAAATTGTATTAGTATACCCAATGTAGGTAGTAATCACCGAATCTCAACTTCTAATACACTGTCAAAGGCTGTTGATGATGATAATAAATTATTTTTTGAAATTTTGCCATCAAACTTAAATACCATAATATTTTTTCATTGTTACTATACATTAATACATACAAACAAGATCCTGCAAACACAATATCCCTGATTTGGACAGTCATATAACAATAAAATACTCACAGGAGGTAGCGGCGTGGGAGGCGCTGCGGAGTCTCTCCTCCGGCGCGGGGGGAGAGGTGGAGGGGTGCCACACGACACAGCTGTAATCAGTTCTTACATTTTATGCGAAAATAAGTATTTTTTCTAATTATATACAGAACATCAGTCTATCTACAGAACTAAGATATCGCTTAGTACTTGGTTTTTGTAGGCCTAATGGCAGTCTTTCCACGTCAAAAATCGTAGTTCAGTCGTGTCGTGGTAGACTTAAAGCCGAACCCAACCTAGTTTGGGGAAAAGACTCGGAGAAAGATATACATAAAAGGGAATTAACGCGCTCAACAGGCATTAAAATTGCCTAACGGTAATGCATTCCACAAACGACTAATAAAAACCATAAATGATATATCAAAGGAATTTGTGGAATGCACTAGCAATTTTTAAATCTTATATTCTAATGATCGTTTAGAGTTCCGAGATATAACTTTAATTGTATTTTTAAACATATTTTTATTATCATTAAAAATTATAAGGGGCACTATATATATTATGTTAAAGTTAGTTGTTACTTACGATGGTGTGGGGTGAGAGGGGGCGCGACCGGTGCAGGGGGCGAGGGCGTGGGCGCGCCCCGCCATTCAAACTTAAACGCTACACCCCTGGGAATGAAATTCATTTTGTAAACACCTTTAGACTATGAAACCATATGTAATAATGTACGGACAATCGGACTTTCTTAAATCGGACTCAAACCGACTAAAAACCGCACGCCATCTAGGTTACTAGTAGCCGAGGAAGCAGTTGTACCCTAGAAAAGAAATCCCTGGTACCCCGAAGGACAACATTCCCCTAGCTTTGCTGCTATCTTTAGGAGTGCTTTCGCGAAATGAGACGCAAATGTGTAACAGGAATCCAGCGAAGCGCGCGCTAATTGATTTAACCAATGAGCGCGCGCTGCTAGAGTTGTCCTACAGATTTTTTTATCGAGTGTTTGTCGAAAGCTGAATATGCTTACCTGTCGGCCACGAGTGGGCTGGCGGGCGGCTGCGGCGCTGGAGAACGCTTGGGCGACACGGCCGGCATCCTGGAACACACATGCACTCATTATTTAAAACTTAATGCAAATGTTGTACAAAGGTGAGGCATTCTCTCGCAGTGATGTGATGATGTCCTCACAGACGTATCCGTCGACAGCGACACCCTTTTTTTTTTTTTTTTTCCGTGCGGAAATCCCCTCGGATACCACCTGTCGGTGGCATGTCGGACTCGAACCGACTAAAACCGCACGCCTTCGCCGGGTACTAATAGCCGGGGAACCAGGTATACCCTAGAAAGGAAGGCCCTGGTGCCCCGACATACCCGCTGGTCTGGCCTGGTCCCGCTTCCCCGCCCCCTCGCGAGCATAACTTGCTCGCAGAAGGAGACGGCAGAGTTCCACGCACTCTCGCTCCGCACGATAGCCGCAATCAGGCTATCGAGCGAGAGAACTCCCACTCCGATGGCCGCCACGAGGTCTCGCCTCTGCTCAACCCACGCCGGGCACTCTGCCAGCGTGTGGAGAGCCGTGTCCACGGTCTGGCCATCGCAGTGGTGGCACTCAGGCGTTGGCTCCTTGCGGATCAGACACAGGTGATCTCCGAAACATCCCTTCCCAGTGATCACCTGCGTCAATCGGTATGAGAGGGTCCCGTGACGCCTCTCGAGCCAATCCTCCATAACGGGTCTTACCGCCGCAATGACGGCGTGCCCAAAGACAGCGACACCCTGTCACCTTTCAGTCTTTCAGTGACGTAGAAATATGAGTGATGAGGGATACCCGTTATCGACGTTTACGCGTTTACAAATCGTGGTCAAAGGGTAACTCGGCATGTTTACCTCAGAATCGTGTGCAATCGAAAGGAGTGCCTCACTGTAGGTACCTTGCATAAGGAGTACAAGTCATTAGTCCGGAAACGTATAGGTTTGTGAATCTTTATCTTTGTGAGGTTTGCGAGTGTGATACAGTGAGTGAGATACTTTGAGCACTGCCCTCTGAGCTCTCTCCAAACGTAGCAAGAGACTTTTTGCAGTGTTTCCCCAGGCAATCACACAGTAGGTAATCATTGAGTGGGCCAACGCAAAATAGACCGTAAGAAGAGTGTATAAATCTACGGAACTTCTCAACTTCTTAAATACATGGATAAGCTTACGCACTCTGGATACTAGGGAGTGTATTTGATAACTCCATGACTATGTGCTGTGGGTGTAAACGCCAAGATATTTCATTGCTTCAGTACGTGACATTTTCATCATCATCATCATCAACAGCCATTACTAGTCCACTGCTGGACATATGCCTCTCCTCAGAAAGGAGGTTTTGGCCTACTATACCACGCTAGCCAGACGGGTTGGTATAGGGTTTGTTTCAAGTTTTCCTTCTCTTTGCAGCGTTGTTGTCCTGCGTAGTTTGTTCCCTTAGTCGCCTCTTACGACACCCACGGGATAAATAGGCGTGGTGATACTCCTATTCTTAATCCTTCACCACAAGTAGAAGTAACCCTGACTGCTTTGTGGGCTGTGGGTTCAATTCCAACCCAGGACAAATATTTGTGTGATGACAGATGAGCACGATCATGTGTTTGTTGTCTGGGTGTAGTTTATCTATAACATTATATAACCCATCCTTACTTTTTGTTACTTAGGGGTACGTGACTCTGGCACCAGGGACTTCCTTTCTAGGGTATACCTGGTTCCCCGGCTATTAGTACCCGGCGAAGGCGTGCGGTTTTAGTCGGTTCGAGTCCGACATGCCACCGACAGGTGGTATCCGAGGGGATTTCCGAACGAAAAAAAAAAAAAAAAGAAGCGGGTACGTGACTCTGATCTCTTCGACCTTCTACGGTCTCAGTTCTATCTGAAACTCTTAGTATCTCTTATCCGAGTATCTTATGTATCGCCTTTAGTACAAGTCCAGTTTAGTTTGAATCTAGAAAAATAGTTTGTATAGGAGGTTAGCGAGCAGACGGTTCAGCTGATGGTAAATGATGGCTACCGTCGCCCATGAACATGTGCAACTTAAAGACTCAAAAGTGTGATGTCGCTTATTAAGTTCCCTTCTCCCTTAGTTGCACGGGATCGGGTTTGAGGTCTGGTAACGCCACTCACTAGAGAGAACACGGGGTACAGCTGCCTGTAAGTGGCGATACAGGTAACGACAGATGGATATCTGATAATTCGATCTGTTTAGCTAAACTGAGATTGTCTATCGTGAAGTGGGCATGGTTTTGATCCTAGAACAGGTGGCAATTTCCCCAGCCAACTACAGAGCTCGACTAGAAAGAGATAGAGGGAACCATCTAATATCTCGTTACCTATATTGCAAGATTGGGACTCTACTTCACTCTATGCTTATATCTTTTGGGTGAAAAGTAATTAAACGATTGGTCAGCAGAGATTTTCTGTGAGGCCGTGCTATCACACTGGTGGAGCCGGCCTGTGTGGCTCCCATATGGTTATATTATAATATTAATACTAGCTGACCCGGTAAACGTTGTTTTGCTGGGTCAGAAAGTTAAAAAAAATCTAGGAAGGTACACCCTTACCCCAAGGGGTATAAAAATAGCTTACGACCAACTCGAAAACAACAATCCGACTGCACAGATGGCGTAGTGGTTTAAGCGGTCGCCACGCCACTTCCTACTGCGCCGAGTGTTGTGGGTTCAAACCCCACATGCGACGACACTTTGTGTGATCCACAAATTGTTGTTCTTTGTTACAGATAAAAATTCATAAAAATCGTTCAAGCCGTTTCGGCGGATCACTGTGTCACGAGATTTTTATATATTAGATTATTGCATATTTCAGTACAAGACTTTATCGTCATTTAAAAGAAAACTAATTTCTATAACGGTTTTTTTAAACTTGAAAAACAGAACGGGAATCAAACCGATGACAAGACTCGGATATTTCGTTTGTTTTCACTTAACACAACTTAACCACAAAGGGTACTTACCTTCTTAGTGAGTTGAAACAAAATGACAGACACCAGACAACGAACCATCACTAAGTATCTAACACAGTGTTTACATTGTAACAGTATATTATCGCCATATCTATGCTAGCTATGGATGGAGTCCCGGAACCGTTTGGAATATTCCAGAACATCACAATCATCGTGGTCATCTACCTGCTTTTTTCCAATTTTATTTCGGGACGGCCCAAACGAAGAAACCAGCCAAAACCCGACACAGAAAAAAAATACACAAAATTATTTGTCCTAGTTCTGAATCGAACTCCGGACTGCGGAAATCCCCTTGGATACCACCCATAGGTCGGATGGTTATGTCGGACACGAACCGACCAAAAACCGCACGCCGTCTCGGGTACCAGTTGCTACTCCCTGGTACACATCTAAATACACCTGGGGCAGGTGGACAGTATTATATAAGTTACGATATTTTAATGACTGCACGGATGGCGTAGTGGTTTAAGCGGTCACCTCGCCGCTTCCTACTACGCCGAGTGTTGTGGGTTCAAACCCCATATGGGACGACACTTTGTGTGATCCACAAATTGTTGTTCTGAGTCTGGGTGTTCTTTGTGTCCGTTTCATGTATGTTTGTAAAGCCCCCCGCGACACAGGAATGTATTCCTAATGCGGGAGTTGTCTTTTAAAAAAAAAAAAAAAAAAAAAAAAAAAAAAAAAAAAAAAAAAAAAAAAAAAAAAAAAAACCGTGGGAGAGCCCAACCTGCCCCTTGACACTTGGACGGGGCAGAAGGGACTAAGTCTTCAGTTTCCACCGAAATCCAACCTTAGATTGCAACGTCGGGTACACAATACGAGTATCATCTACCTAAAGACGAACAAACATATATCAGAAATGTTCCGCTAAATATCACCTTACATGTGAGATAACAGCCATTTAACAACGCAATACTTTGTGTAATACAATATTTTAGCAATGTGGTGCTTTTATCAGCCGCAAGCGAACCGATTGGTAAAGGATTTTGTCCTACCGTTGTTTAGATAGCGGGTAGTGGTATCCCTATAATTACTAGTGAATAATTTATTATAAATTGTCTATATTTCGGCGATGGTCACTTTCCATCAGGTGACCCGTCTGCCCCCTCTAACATAAAAATAAAAAACAATAATAATAAACAACACAAAAAAAAAAAAAATATTAAAAAAACAGTGGCACACCGGAAGTGTCAACAGAAATGAAAATTTGTTTTTTTTTTGTTTCTTCCGATTTGAAAAGTTCCGACATGAATATTTATCTATGTTGTACGTATATACACAATACATTTTTATATTATATATAGTTATAGTATCAATGCATTTCAACTCAAACTCAACTCTCGTCTCTCTCACGGGGCCAATATTTATAGATACTTATACCACTTATATACAGTGGTGTCGGTAACGGTAACAGTGTCACGAGTTCAATGTTTTTTTCCCTATCTCAAAAATATAAACATCCGAATTGATAACCTCCTCCTTTTTGAAATCGGATAAAAACCGTTGCTTTTTGCTTTTCACCGAGAGAATTTTGTTACTAGAGCCTAAAATTTTTCTACTCCTGATTTTGGATGGAGGGCTTAAAGGGCGGCAAAGCCCTCTGGGCCTCTTTAGTTGGAGGTGTCTATGGGTGGCGGTAGTCACTTACTACCAGGCGACCATTAAAAAAGTTACTCATTCTAGATCGCGCTATAAAAGTTCTCGCCTCGATTAGTATGTATATTCCACTTCCCAACATCAACCGTGTGGTCGGAAGATCTCCCCTTTATATTTCTAAATATCTTTAAAATGTCTACTAAACTCGTATATTTTCGCTTAATTTTTATTAAAGGACGAATAGTAGATTTTTATAGTGAAATAATATTCAATAAGAATTTATATTCGCCCACAGTCAGACCAATGGTCTTAAGGACTTTTTTGCAATTATATATGTTAGAGGGTTAAGTCCGTGTCTTCAAAGCTTCTGATGCGAGTTACTGGGTTTAAGGACCACCACCTGAACACCTGATTATACAAATAGAGTTATCTATTCTATCCTGCCTTGATCTTTTGCATTCGCAAACTTAAATTTAAATTCTTTAACTAGTTATTGCTCGCAATTTTACACGCATCAATGTCATTTCATCATCAACAGCTTTTATCAATAGTCCACTGCTGGACATAGGTATCTCCTTAGAAAGGAGGTTTTGGCCTACTATACCACGCCCAAAATCGATCTAAGTGGCGTACAATGGGAGAGGCCTATGACCAGCAGTGGACTGCGATAGGCTGATGATGATGATACCACGCTGGCCAGACGGGTTGGTATAGAGTTTGTGTCAAGTTTTCCTTCTTTTTGTAGTGCTGGTGTCCTGCGTAGTTTTGCGCCCTTAGTCGGCTCTTACGACACCCACGGGATGAATTAGGGTAGTGACATTCCGTATTCTTAATACGTCACTACACGGACTCAATGTTATTTACATCAACCAAATTTGTGCTGTGCTATTTCAGAGTTTAATCTATCTCTGTGTCCAGTTTCAATTGAATCTTCCCAAACTTTGGAATTCATTTTTATTGGTAGATAATATTTTAGACGAGTCTAGTCAGGTAGAATGGGCTTCAAGTGTAACCGTGAAAATAAGTTCCTAAAAATTATATGTAGTAAAAAAGTAGTATTATACATTACTTGAATAAGTCTGGATGTTTGGGGCTCGGTAGCGGTCGATCCGGCGGTTCTGGTGGTAATTCACTAGACGTCGATAATCCTGTCGAATAATATAGTTTATTAAATACAAACGTTAGTTATTGTCGTCTAAATAAAGCGTTTAAAAATGCTAAACTTTCATCAACAAATCTTACAGCTATCGATAAAGAAGAATATAATTACAGGACCGAAGTTGGTGCCTTGTGGGATACCATACTAATTTTTTTTAAGATATATGTATAGTTTAATATATGTATGTATACATTTAGTAGACACTTTTGTCTGTTCTTAATATAATTTTTATGTACTTTATATTAGATAAGAAAACTTACGTTTATGTATTATTTTTTAATTATTCTTTACAAGAAACAATATCAAACGCTTTTCACAATTAATATGGTGGTAATTAGAATTTATTAAGAGCCTAAATATATAGATAATGTTATATTCTGAATGTTATAGACACGTCAGAAAATGAGTACTCACCTTGAGGTTGGGGCAGATGTGTGGAGGGCGAGGAGGGGCGGCGCGGTGGGGCGGGCGGCGCGGGGGGGCCGCGCTCCTCGCCCGCTCCCGCCGCGCCCCCCGCCCGCGGGAGGAGCGGAGGGACTCGCTCCTAAGGGGATATCGATCATTAGTACATATTTATTTGTATAAGTATTACATCGCAGCATGAGATATTGAAATAATGTTGTAGAATAATTTTGGCGTGCAATGGGAGATTGATTTTGGGCTTCTCGCATCCAGCTCCTGCCAGCCATCTTGCCCCAATCGTCACTCCACCTGGCCTGTGGGCATCCTACACAACGTTTGCCGAGACGCGGTCTCCATTCAAGAACTCGTTTTCCCCAACGGTTGTCGGTTCTGCGTCTAATATGGCCAGCCCACTGTCACTTCAGCTTGCTTAACCGGTAGGCTATGTCGGTGACCTTGGTTCTCTGCCGGATCAAATTATTCCTGATGCGATTCTTTAGAGAAACACCGAGCATAGCCCTTTCCATAGCACGTTGAGCGATTTTAAACTTGTGGACCAGTCCTACCGTAAGTGTCCACGTTTCGGCTCCTTATGTCATGACGGGTAGGACGCACTCATTGAAGACTTTCGTCTTAAGGCACTGTGGGATCGACAATGAGAACACTCGACGTAGCGAAAATCATCGCGAATGATGTTTAGGAATTATATTTTTTGCTTTTTTCTCCGGCCTGGCCGTGTGCTCAGTTGCCAACTTTGTGATATGAAGAAAATGCTGCCAAACCTAAAGATCTGATCGACACTGAGACAGTGCTCCGCTTATATTGTCCACGACAGTAAAATGAAATATGTTGACTGTTGCGCTATATAGGTATTCGGTACCGAGCGCGAGTAAGAGAGCGAGGTGTCGTCTCACCTGGTCGTTCCGGCGAGTGGCGAGGTGGTCGAGGCTGCGCGAGTAGAACAGCTCGGCGTCCACGATGGCACCGCGCGGGGACAGCGCCGCCGGCCGCCGCAGCTCGCTCGCCGACGACTGTCTGACGACACGCACGCCCCAACATGTCACCGAGGAACATAGCTAAACGCTTCTCACACATACTAACCACCTACGTCGACGACACTACCGATCGTTATACAAGAACGGTCGATCGATATCTATCATCATCATCATTAACAGCCTATAATAGGCCTCTCCTTAGAAAGGAGGTTTTGGCCTACTATACCACGCTGGCCAGACGGGTCGGTATAGGGTTTGTATCGAGTTTTCCTTCTCTTTACAATGCTGTTGTCCTGCGTAGTTTTCTCCCTTCGTCGGCTCTTACGACACCCACGGGATGAATAGGGTTGGTGACACTCTGTATGCTTAATCCGTCACCACACGGATACTTCTTTTATAATATCAGTTGATTGCTATAAAAGAACAGTTGATTGGTATTGCTTATGTAGATGTTATACAAATTTCAAAGGTCTCAGAATAGGACCTTGCGGTACTCCCTATCAGTAACAATGTAAATAAGATTAAATTTTGAGATTCACATTATCAAATGCCTTTGAGTGGTCCAACATAATAAAAACCTTTTCTACAGTAGTTCTAACTTGATTAACAATTATCAAAATTATTATGATATTTATAGTTAAAAATGACAATCAACAAATAAATAAATCTAAACATATATTATTTAACTTTTGACATTATCGATGATATCTAAAATTATCGATAAAATAATGAGTGTGTTAAATCAATTAAAACTTCTTCATGAATAAAATCGATCCATAAAAGAAATCGAATCGGTAACGGGTCAGGGTATCACTATTTGATTAAGTATTGAAGCTGTCAAAAGTTAAACGATTGGAAAGGGTATGTGGAATATAATTATGTAATTCTGTCGCGTCGTTCGTTTGGTTAGCACGTGCGTCTAGAATTTTTTCAAACCTATGGTGATTTTGTGACTATTGGGTCTTTTTTTTGTTATTTTGTGCTGTCCTTGGTTACGGTGTGTTGTTTGTAACTAAATATTATTACCGGTAAGTGAACATGAACGGAAATAAACCGCCCGACCCTCCCGATATTCCATGTCCAGTAACCCCTCCTTTCACCCCTATTCCTCCCTTACCCGATCAACCTTCAACCCCTTCCAACCCCTTAGAACAGTTTGCCAATGTGGTCTGCAACGCTACGGTGGAAGAAACCAGGCCCCTCGTTTCTACCTCACGGAAACGAAATGGGAACGATGAGGTAAGTGCCCCCCCTCTTAAACGTCTCCAAACTCAAACGAAAACCTTTGTTAGTCGTGACAAATACACAAACAATGACAGTGGTCCTTACATGGTACATGTTTCTCGCGTGGAGAGCCAGTTAGGCTCTGGTACAACTCTCCATCCTGTTTCGTTTGGACTTTTTCTTTTTAAAAACAATATAAGTAATATTGTCAGAGATGGTATTAAAAAAGTTGGAAGGAATAGAGTATCCGTACAGTTTTCATCCCCTCAGGATGCTAATGCATTCCTAATTAACCCCCTCTTAAATATTTGTAAATTCACTGCCAGCATTCCTACTTATAACATTACTAGAATGGGTGTTGTTTCTGGTATCCCTACCGACATGAATGATGATGAAGTAATTAAATTTGTGACAGTGCCGCAGGGCTGTGGGCAGGTTATTAAAGTCAGGCGTCTTAACCGAAAATCATTTAATGAAGGTATCTTGGAGTGGAAGCCAACAGAATCCTGTGTCCTCACTTTTGATGGCCAGGTTCTACCTAAACGAGTTTTCTGCTGCTATAATTCTCTTCTTGTACAGCAATATATTTACCCCACCGTCCAATGTAGGAAATGCTGCAGGTTTGGTCATGTGGAGTCTATCTGCAGATCTAGGCCTAGGCCCAGTAACGAATGTGAGGTAACAGAAACGGGGGCCTTTTGTGTCCTATGCTCTGGTGGTCACTTTGCCAACAGCAAGGCTTGCCCGGAGTATGGCAGGCAGAGGGCCATTAAGATCATGATGGCGGAAAAAAACATTTCCTATATGGAAGCAAATAAAGTGGTCCCTTCTACTACTCGCAGCTATGCTGATACCCTAAAGGCCCCACAATTTACCCAATCCTCTCAGCCCACCCAACCCATCCAGTCTACCCAGACCCTTCAGTCTACCCAACCCCTTCAACAAACCCAGTCCTACCGAAAAACTGTTCTTCGGCAGCCTAAACCTCGCCCTACACTATCCAAATCCTATGATATAACTGCACACCAATCTATCATCCACTCTCCCCAACCTTCTCAACCTAATGGTTGTGCTCTTAACTCATCACTCGAGACTTCTACTATTGACCTTATAATACAGCTTTTGACTTCTCTATTAACCTCCAATTTACCTCTATCTCAATCCCCTTCTAGTATACCGTCCAACGTTGCCAACACACTCATCAACTTATTAACCAACTTTAAAAATGGCATCCCAACAAGTATTCCTACAGTGGAATGTGAGGAGTGTGTTTCATAAGAAGCACGACCTCATATTCTTGTTGAATAAATACAAGCCTTTGGCTGTCTCTCTTGCTGAGACTTGGCTTCTACCGGGTCTCAACTTCCATGTTCCAAATTTCAACATGCTTAGATGCGACAGGTCTGATGGTTACGGAGGTGCAGCCCTCCTTATAAATAACAGAGTCCCTCTATTACCCCTCCCCTTACCCCCATTCCCAGATGATATCAGCATTGTAGCAGCGAAAATCAGTAGTGTATCTGTGCTTTCCATCTACATTGCTCACCCCCAGCAGAGTTTCCTCCCTATATTGAGAGACTTGCTACAGAGCCTACGGAGCCCAATATTAGTTATGGGGGATTTCAACTGCCATCACTTTAGATGGGGATCTGAGCACTGTGACAGTTTTGGCATTGGTTTGTTGGAGATCATTGATGATTTGAACCTCTGTGTTCTCAATAACGGCTGCTCCACTCGTAGAGTCCTCCCTGGTCAGAACAAAAGCTGTGTTGATTTGACCATTTGCTCCCTGGAAGTTGCTGCGGCTGCTTGCTGGCGGTGCACGGATTTGTCTCATGGTAGCGATCATTACCCAATATTATTATCCCTCCCTAGCTCAACTCACCTGGAAAAATCATGCCCTCCTCTCTTAAAATATAACCTCTCGGAAGCTGACTGGCGAAATTTCTCTCAAATCCTTGAATTCAATGTTCATACCCTCCCTAGATTTGACTACAGATCCCTATCCTACGATGATCGCGGCCACGTGACGGACTATTGTGATGCCTTTGTGGATGCAATTAGGTCAAGTGCGGACAGCTGCTTTAAAATTAAAAATTCCTCTAGGGGCAAAATTCCCTCACCCCCTTGGTGGGACAGTGAGTGTACTAATGCCATTAGGCTAAGAAAAGAGTCCGAAAGGAGATACAATGCTCACATGTCAACTCAAAATTTACTAAATTATCAAAATGTTTTTGCTTCTACCAAGCGACTCCTCCGACGCAAAAAGCGCATTGGTTGGATTAGCTTCTGCTCCTCTTTGTCCCCATCTACTCCATCTTCTATTGTGTGGAAGAACATAAATCGGTTCCGGTCTGGATGCTCTCCCTCAGTGTCTTCCTCTATCTCCACAGACACAGCTGAACTCCTCCTAGACAAAATTGCCCCCCCTTATGTCCCACATCTAGATGAAGTCTCCCAACCAAGTGTTCCAACTCAGTCGCTAGGTACTCACGATGAGCCTTTCTCCTTGGAGGAGCTGAACATGGTTCTTCACAATGTGCGAGACTCTGCTCCTGGCATGGATGGTATCCCATACTCTTTTATAGCCAATGCTAGCTCTAGTACAAAATCCTACTTCCTAAACATTTTAAATTTTTGCTATACCAATGGTTGGGTCCCGGATAAGTGGAAGGTTCAAATAATTATTCCCATTTTGAAACCTGGCAAACATGCAGGAGACCCAAATAGCTTCAGACCAGTTGCTTTATCATCAGTTTTACCTAAATTACTTGAACACCTTATTAAAATCCGTCTGGAGTGGATTGTGGAATCAAGGAATCTACTACCTAATTATCAGTTTGGCTTCCGTAAAGGTCTTAGTACCATGGACAGTGTTGCGGTGTTGGTAACCGATATCCGTCTTTCTATGTCGCAGGGTGCGTCCACAGTAACATCTTTTCTCGACATAACTGCGGCATATGACAATGTCCTACTACCCATTCTCAGGCAAAAACTGCACCAGCTGAGACTTCCGGTCAGAATGATCCATTGCATATGTGCAATGCTTGTGTCTCGAACTCTAGTCCAAAGGATCTTAGGAGAAGAGTTCGACCAGAGAAAGACGTGGAGGGGCTTGCCACAGGGCTCTGTACTGAGTCCTCTATTGTACAACCTGTACACTGCAGATATGGGCTTATGTTTAAACAATGATTGCAGTATACTACAATACGCCGACGATCTGGCATTGTATGTAACCAGCCATTCCATCCAAGATGCAGCCACATCGCTCACAACCTCCCTTAATTCTCTGTGGCGGTGGCTATCATCCCACGGCCTTAGCCTCTCTGCACAGAAGAGCGCAGTCGTTGTCTTTACTGGAAAGAAGACTCTGCCACAGATTGATGTCAAAGTACAGCTGCAGGAAATTCCCCTCGTTAATAAATTTAAATTCCTCGGGGTATATTTAGATTCTAAGTTGACTGGCGTTCACCACATTAACCATCTAGCCTCAAAATGTAAACGAACTATCCCAATTTTAAAGGCCCTGGCCGGAGTTTGGTGGGGAGCCCATCCATACACCATGAAGCTAGTGTATAATGCCTTAGTGCGCAGCATATTGGACTATGGTGTTTTCCTACTGGTTCCATGCAATAAAGGCGCATTAGCAACTCTGGATAGGATCCAATCTAGGTGTCTTAGAATTATTACTGGTTGCATGAAGTCATCCCCCATTAACGCATTACAGGCTGAATACTCAGATCCACCTCTAAAATTAAGAAGACAATATTTTGCTTCATGCTTTGTTTTGAAATTTATTTGTAAATTGACCCACCCTCTTCTTCCAAAAATTACTGACTTAGACATAACTTGCAATACCTCTAAGTACTGGGCACATAAAGAAATTCCATTGATTCTGCAATCCTTTCGCTACTACTTTCCCTTTACGAATTTAACTGTAAAATTTGACAAACTTCCTCTTTTTTCATTTAAATACAGTATACTTAGTTTTAAGCCGAATGTGTTCTTGGATGTGGGAATTCCTAAGGGATCTGCCTCGGCTGTTTCTACCTTTAACGCTTATGTGGATGACCACTTGGTAGGGTTTGAGAGGTTTTTTACAGACGCATCCAAACTGTCAAGCGATAGTTACACTGGAGCTGTGCTGTACTACCAAAACTCCAGAATCATTTTGCAGTTTAAGTGCCCAGAAGAGTCTTCTGTATTTACGGGCGAGTGTGTCGCGGTATTGGAGGCATGCCTATATGTTGAATCGCACAACATCTATAAGGCTGCTATATTTACTGATTCTCTTAGCTGTCTTAAAGCCCTGCTAAAAGATCCATTCCATAGCAAACTCCATAGCCCCTTGATCTTAGAACTCAAAAAAAGCCTCTTCAATTGCTCCAATAGTGACAAATTGGTCCAGTTGGTCTGGGTTCCCAGCCATAGTGGCATTATGGGCAATGAGTGTGCAGACTCGTCAGCCAGAAGTGCTGCTACTTCCTCAATGGCAGACCAGAAACATATGGTTCACCATCACTATGACCTCCTAAGACTGCCTCAAAGAGAGTTGAGGACATCCTGGCAGGCGGAATGGAACAGGTCCGCACAATTTAAAGGCCGGTACTATTTTTCAGTACAGCCACGCATTCCTCCGAAGCCTTGGTTTTTTAATTTTAAAAAGGTGTCCAAACAAGTTGTCTCCACCATATGTAGGCTTCGTATTGGCCACTGCAGCTCACCTGTCTTCTTGAATAAAATTCGGGTACGGGACTCGTCTCTATGCGAGTGTGGCCTGGATGAAGGCAACCTGGACCACATCTTCTTTAATTGTAGTAAAAATAATCCATCCTTAGACCTTTATTCATACCTAACTAAATTAAAAATCCCCCTCCCTATTATCTTTGCATCCCTTCTTACCTTTTCCTCCCCAAAACTTTTACAAGCCTTGATGTTTTTCATCCGCTGCAATGGCATCAAACTTTGACCTGTGTACCTAATGTAATGTTGTGATGTTTATTTGTGTTTGTCCACTAATTATCTCTTTATATATTACATACATACTTTATTTATTCGTATTTGTCTGTTTGTTTCAGTGTACTAACCACAATCAAAAGACCCATATGCAGTCCACCTGCTAATTTTGGAAAACTTAATGTTTGCAAATTCCTTTTCTCTTATGTATTTCTCTTAACCCACGTATTTCCATCGCACTTGACATTGGCAGAATTGTCGACATCGGCACAGTTTGCCATATAATAAGAAGAAGAAGAATATAATTATGTAACGCCTTTCGTCGTGCTTTTCTTTGACGAAGTGAGTAATAAAGATTAGTTTTCACGTTATTGTAATATTAAACTATGTAATTTTATACAAATAAATAATACAATATGGATCTAATACAATTACACTTTAAGAAAACTATTTTAAAAATTAACTAATCTACTGTTGATACTTTGGCTGAACGACTGACGGCGCACCGACTGTTGAGAGTTCGATTCTCATGCGAAACAAAATAGTGTAATCTGCAATTGGTTCTCCCGAGTATGGGTATTTTTAGAATGCCATTTTTACAAAGTTTATTAAGTACCCGTGACGCATATTAGTCCTAGTGCAGTAACAAGCTCGAAATAAATTAAAAAAAGTTTAGTACATTTTTGTTATTATTAATGGCGGACTAAATTTACAGAGTGTCACCACTCCTATTGATCTCCTGGGTGTCGTAAGGGAAGGATAACTTGACACAAACCCTATAGACCCGTCTGGTCAGCGTGGTATTGTAAGATAAAACCTCCTTTCTGAAGAGAGGCCTATGTCCAGCAGTGGACTATCAAATGCTATTGATGAATTCAATTGACTTGCCAAGTATACTAGGATCCTACACTCCTACACCATTCAGCCCACCTACAGTTCCCTGATAAACAGTTTATAAGTGGGGTTGGAGCTTGCCACCTCCCAAGGGGGGAGTTAATACACTAAGTATACGTACAAGCTAACGGAGCGGTCGTGTCGCGGCGAGTGCCTGTCTCGGGGCGAAGGCGGTTCGTCCCGGTAGCTGCATCTGGTCAACAAGTATATTGTTATTATATATTATTTATTTGTACATATATGTATTACAGTCAAAACAAAGACGATTTCAAACAATTTTAATTTTTTTATGAAATAAAGAGAGTTTGAGTTGAGTTAGATACTTCAGTGCCATTTAACACAAAACAAGAAAAAACTATGTAGTGACTATTGGATAGTACAATAAATTTTTTAACCACCACACACCCACCCAGATTAGGTTAGGGCTTCAGAAATTACACTCTGTCAAATATATATATTTTTTTTTTATTATTAGAAAGACAACTCCCGCATTAGGAATAAATCCTGTGTTACGGGGACTTTACAAACATACATGAAACGGACACAAATGACACCCAGACACAGAACAACAGTTTGTGGATCACACAAAGTGTCCCATGTGGGGATCAAACCCACAAGACTCAGCGCAGTAGGAAGCGCCGAGATGACCGCTTAAACCACTACATCATCCGTGCAGTCACAGTCGAATGACTCCGTCCTTCCAGCACAAAGGGAGATTCCTCCGACTAGACGAGGTGATCATGCCTGGCTGGTCGCGCTAATGGTTGTTGTTTAATTGCGCGTTATAGGAGTAGTAGTTACTCCGTAGTTCGATATGCCTTCTGTAGAAGGCATTGAAGTAAGTTTTTTTTGTCAAATCGGCACAGAGATACCAATAATGCTGTATGCTGTTAGGCAACCACAGTTCCTTACCATGAGGAGACCAGTCTGTTCGCTCGTAAATAATGGTTTCTGCATATATGTTTACAGCAATAAGATAACAAATTAACATACAATTAAATTAATTACACTCACTTGTTATTGTGTGTCGGTTTGGTTTTATCGAATAGAGCGAATCCCTTGTCGAATAAACTTAGTTGACTCAGCTGGCTCAGCGAACATCTCTCCAGACGAGGACTGACTATTTCTGATCTACTGCCTGCGAGTATTAAAGAAAATAAGATTAATGCTATTCTAATAGGCTAGATGACAGGTAGGCTAGATGATAAAAAAAAAACAATTTAAATTTCCTTCGAAAACACTGAATAGTGTTATGGCGTCTTGAATGACGTCACAGTCTGCGAAACAAAACTGTTTACATCTGTGTCCAGTGACAACTGTTTTCCAAAAAAAAAAACAAAAACAATAAGGAGTAAACTGCTCTGTTGTGTGAAAACGTCAACAACAACAATGATGTTTTGCGTGGCGTGACGTAACACTTTCTGATTGGTGTCCGCTGTCACGTGACTTAATGCCTATTTTGTACCAATTTATTTTAAAAAAATATTAATAATCTTTAACTTTTATGAGAAATAGACAGATTTTTTCTTATCTATGTCTCTTCATTTATAATTTGAAACTAACTATAAACCAAGCAATTTGTTAATAATGGACACAAGCCTATTCTGCCTAGGAGATCACGTTTAGCCGTCAATCCCGTTTGAGATATGAACATCTGAGACAGTCGTTACGGGTAGTCGGAACGATCAAAAGTTTGTTTGTTTGTTTTTAAAAAAGACAACTCCCGCAGTAGGAATCCATTCCTGTGTCGCGGGGGACTTTACAAACATACATGAAACGGACACAAAGAACACCCAGACTCAGAACAACAATTTGTGGATCACACAAAGTGTCGTCCCATATGGGGTTTGAACCCACAACACTCGGCGCAGTAGGAAGCGGCGTGGCGACCGCTTAAACCACTACGCCATCCGTGCAGTCCGACAACAGTATCTCTACAGAACTTCGATATCGCGTAGAACTTGGGTTGTGTAGAACCTCCACGGTCTGGTAGTCGCTCCACGTAAAAAATCGAAGTTAGGCCGTATAGTACTAAACTTAAACCTAGTTTGTAAAAAAAGGCTTGGAGGAAAAAAAAATTATAATAGTGACGGTGGGTGGAAGTGCGGTACTGACCCCTGTAATCGTCGTGGAGCATGTGTATGGGCAGCGACACCACGGACGCGCCATCCCACCCCGACGTAGGGGAGATCTGGGATATACCTGTAAAAGGACATAAACTTTATAGCAATCAATAGTAAACTTCTTCCGTGCGAATTGGAGTAGCATTATATTGAGTTCTTCGACCTATAATAAGCATGGCTCGTACAAGGGGGTACGAGGGGGTCGTAGAGGGGGGGGGGGTTCTCTCTTATGTCTCTGTGTGTATGGGTTGTACACACAGAGATATAAGAGAGAACAAGAGTCCCAATCATGAAATATAGGCAACGTGAGAGATGGATAACAGATAGTCCTCTCTATCTCTTTCTAGTCGAGCTCTATGGATGGCTGGGGAATATGAGGGGTTAAAAGGTAGCAATCCGTGTGGTGACGAATTAAGAATACGGGGTGTCACCACCCCTGCTCAACCCGTGGGTGTCGTAAGAACCGACTAAGGAAGCAAACTACGCAGGATAACAGCACTGCAAAGAGAAAGAAAACTTGATACAACCCCTATGCCAACCCGTCTGGCCAGCGTGGCTTATGTCCAGGAGATGACTACTAAAGACTGTTGATGATGAATCGTAGCTTAGCTAAACAGAGACAGAGGGAACTATCGGGCATCCATCTCTCTCGTTGTCTGTATCGCTACCATTTACAGGCAGCTGTACCCTGGGTTCTTTCTATGCTTGTACACTGATATACGCCTTTATGCCCAGGAGAAGGCGTATATCAGTGATGTATCTGCTCATTATCGTCCTAGCCGAAAAATTTATACTACTGGACATAGGCCTCCCCCTTTTTTTTTTCCGTGCAGAAATCCCCTCGGATATCACCTATCGGTGGCATGTCGGACTCGAACCGACTAAAACCGCACGCCGTCTCGGGTACTAATAGCCGGGGAACCAGGTATACCTTAGAAAGGAAGTCCCTGGTGCCCCGACATACCTCGGGCCATCTACAGACGAGTAGACGACCACCCCCATGTGGGAACCCCATGTTCCCTCTGCTCCCTGGAAGTGAGCGCGCTTCGCAACGCGCTCGCCGACATAGGTCTCCCCTTAAACTTTACACAATACTCGATCATGTGCGGCCCGCATCTAACGGCTTGCTGTGACCTTCACCAGGTCGTCAGACTACCTTGTGTGGAGGCCACCCGCGCTCTTATACAGACATCTATAGATATAAAAAGTGGTTACTTCAGCTCCGATTGAGCTCAAACTATGAAAGGATTGTATATCGTGATTCCCGCTTCAAAGATTGTTTTTGTATATTTTTCGTGTCAGTTTTATTCCTCATTGCATTTTTACAGCAAACCGTGGCAGGGTAGAGCTGGTACATGAAGTGGCGTGGGTACTCACTGAGCGTGTCGTCGCTGGAGGAGTGGTGCGAGGTGGTGTCGTGGTGCTGGCGCCGGTGCGCCTTCACCTGCTTCGTTGACAGCTCCGGGTACTTGCGAGGCTACACACAGAGATTTATACACACATTACTCCATAGGCTCTCATTCCCTATATAGGTCATATACCTTCCTCAGGTTATAAGCTCTATTTAACATCACGCTACGACTTTAAAAGGTATCATCATCATCATCATCATCAACAGCCTTTAATAGTCCACTGCTGGACATAGGCCTCCCCTTAAAAAGGAGGTTTTGGCCTACTATACCACGCTGGCCAGACGGGTTGGTATAGGGTTTGTTTCAAGTTTTCCTTCTCTCTGCAGTGTTGTTGTCCTGCGTTGTTTTCTCCCTTAGTCGGCTCTTACGACACCCACGGGATAAATAGGGGTGGTGACACTCTGTATTCTTAATCCGTCACCACACCACACGTCACACACCACATAGTAGTAACAAACAATTTATATATCTAGTCACTTACAAACTTGGGCATCTGTTTGACTGGCGGTCGCGGCTCAATCTCCAAACTCTTGGCGTACAGGTAATTTGTGATCTCGTTGTCGTCCTTGCCCGGGAACGGGTCCAAGGACTCCAGAAACGCCTGAAAATAAAATACTTGTGATCAGAAAGCGAAGTTTGAATGCAGCATTGCAGCGGAATACTTTTTACTACAGATCCTGGATCGCGATATTAGTATTTACGAGCTATTACAATTTGATTGGGATTCTAGCCTTGTTTTTAAAAGCTGTAATGTTCAACTATTAGAGTGGCACAAGGTATAGCTTTTATCTTTTCCTAACGCCATAAGTGTAACTCGCTCAGGCACATTAAAATTACGTGATCGCGTTAATATCCGAAAATACATTTTTAACAGCTGTTCTTTATGACATTCCGCCATTACTCGCGAGGGCCAAACAATCTTGCATGGTCCTTCGAGCCGGGTACCAAGCGGCTGAGGTAGGTCTAATGCAGACCGGTTATAATGCGACCACTACTTGGCCAATAGGAGTGGAAGAGAGAGTTATACATACCCTGGTCTTGAACTCCACCGTGAGGCAGTAGGGCTGATTTTGGTACTGCTGTATCTCGCCCGTGATCTCCGCCACCTTCCGTCGCTTCGAGAAATTTATTAGCTCCGAGTCGGGCAAGTAGTCTGGACATAAAATTACATTAATCTCACAAATCACACAGATAAGCAAACATGTATAGATACCACCATATGGCGGGTCTGTTCTAGTGGTTGTGACCCTGACTGCGAAGCCGGAGGTCGTGGGTTCAATTCCTACCCAGGACAAATATAGAGTGATGAGCACACGGTCATTTGTTCTGTGTTTGGGTGTATTAATCTGTCATATGTATATATTTATAAATATATAAGTATATTTATCAGCAGTCTGGCTATCATAGTACAGACTCTGCCTAGTTTGGAATCAAACTGCTGTGTGTGAGACGTGTGAAATTATTTAATCTGAGCGGGAATAGAACCCAAGACGTCTGGCGTGGCAGTAAAGACCACTACTAAACTAGCAGCACACACACAAATAAATCAACAAAACATGTGCACACACAAACAAATGATATAAAGTACAAAACTAACCAAGATTGCCCTCCTCAATATGCAGTATGTTGGTGAGGTACATGCCGAAGAATGGCACGCAGGGGGGGTTGATGCTGCGCAAGCGCTCCTGGTAGCGTCTGAAGTGGTCCGAGTTGAGCTCACGGAACTCCTCCAGGGCACGGATCAGTCTTGGTGGGACCATCTGGGCAAAAATGCATGTATTAACCATTATTACTAGATTGGATTACACATTAAGCCATCAGTGAATAAGACAAATTACGAAAAGATCATTATGTTTAAAATTAGCGGCTCGAAGGACCAAATGTGTTGGATGATTTTGATAAAAAAATGACAATATTAAGTGTAATGGAAGTTTCGTAATTAAAACTAAACTGAGTAAATTATCGAAGTAATAATTTAACCATTTATATGAGTCCTTATCCAAATCCTTATTAAAATTTATTCTGGTGATTCCTATATAAAGATTTTATAAAATTTAATCGAAATAAACATTAAGGATAAAATACACTAGGTTAGAAGCCTGTACCTGAAAGGTGGCCCTCAGTCTGTGCACAGAGGCGGACCCGCAGGCGGCGACGACGCCGAGCACCCCGTTGAAGTTGTTAAGATCGCGGAGAGCCACGGCCACTTCTAAGAACCGGCATAAGACACCCACGCGCTCGTCCAGGTTCTCACTCTCCACTATCCACTTCTCTATCCAGCGGGTGAACTGGAAAATATCATATGAGTTAGTTTAGTACAGGGGCAAACGAGTAGACGGGTTTACCGATGGCGAGTGACCACCTTCGCCAGCTCAAAAGTCATATTCGCGTCGCCGGCCTTCGTGTCCTCCCCAGACTTAGAGGAGGGTGATTTCAACAATTCTAAATAATACTTTTAGTAAAATAATAAACTTCGTTGTACTCACATTGGTGGTATGTTTAATTATCCTAAGTAGATTGGGACTGGTCTTCTCCTTGTCCTTCTTGGTCCACACGGCGCCGACCAGCTCCGAGGGCTTGACCTGCCGGTAGAGGTGGAACTCGAGCAGCGTGAGCTGTCGCGCCAGCTCGAGCGGGTGCAGCGCCAGCGGGTGCCAGTCGCAGCGCTCCGGGTCCGCCACGTGCCGCACCACGCCCGGGGGCGCCTTGTCGAACACGTGCGACACGCCCAGCGACCACTCGCACTCCGCCGTCTGCCCGCTCTGCAAAGCGTTATCCGCCTTTAGCGAACCTTCGACACGACACGGCCGGGGAAACAATACTACCCTGAGGGACACCCGGCTCGATACCGAGGCTACATCGAAGAAACTACAGAGAAATCGACGACTATTCCGATAGCAACGAAGAGGTCATAAAATATCTGCTCATGAAATGAAATGAACGTTCATTACACGAAAACAGAGATATTAAAATGTTACGGTCGACAGTTTCGAATGCTTTACAGAAGTCGTCTAGTATAAATACTGTCCGCTGTGTATTGTGAAAACCCCAACGTCACCATTTTGAGAAGAGCGGATGCCATACCGCCATTTAATCAGAACCCTAACACTATGAAGAGTTCAAGATACAATTGCTTTTATAGCTCTTTTTTTAAACAATAGAAAGACTAGAATCGGATGGTATTGGCTTTACAGAAATATTTTAAGAAAGAGTGGAAATACTGCAATAAACTACAATTTAAATAAAGAGATATTTGCTACAATAGTCTTCTAGAACTGCGACATACACACATCCTTTCATTTTATACACTGTATTATTTTTATTATTAACAACAACACAAAAATGAAAAGAGTCTACGCGGGTAATGGTAATGAGAGGAATTAGATGTTTAGAATTTAAACAATTATTTATCGTGTTTTGAAACAACCGGAACTCTCATCTCCAAAGTTCCTGTAATTAGACATGACATGGATACCTCACCTTCCTCTGCAATGTCTTCAAGACACTCTGCACCCACTTCTTCATGGGTTTGCCGTCGACGGACTCGAGGAACTCTCGGAGCTTGACCAGCAGCGCCTCCTCGCGCTCGAAGTCGTAAAAGTGCTGGTCAACCCAATGTCGGAGCACGTTGATCACCCTGGAGACACGGAACATTATGGACATTTTGTTGGAACTAAGTGATAAGAGTTAGAATCAGTTTGGTCCACAATCAATTTGGCTTAAATTGACACAGAATAGCAAAAAACAACCCATTTAAGACTACTAATTCTGAATTCCTTTTCTATTTCAACCCCCCCCCCCCCCCCACTTTCAATTAGAATGCCTTTTGCCTTACGGTACTAATCCCTCCGACACACCCACTACTGTAATTCCTATACATCAGGAACAACAGCAGTGACCCACGAGCACATGATCCCTAGGAAGAACATACCGGCCTCACTGGCCTAATGCAAGTCTCCCTTGGACTTTATTCATGAAACATTGTCTAATACCCTGTTCATCCCAAGTTTACTTTCAAAATCTGGAGAAATTGGCACTTCGTATGAAATCAATAAGTACGCGATGAGAGTAACACGACCCACTTACCTAAACTTGACGGGCTGCTGGAACTCCTTGCGGTACCTCTTCCAGTCCTCCCGGGCGGTGTTCTTGCTGAGCTTCTCCGCGTCACTGCTCGCCACGCTCTCTATACTTTCCGCTGTAGGGATACACAATACTTGGTTAGGAATTCCAGTCTACTGAGAGTATATCAGAAGGTCAGAGGTCGTAAGCCTGGAACCGTCTGTGACCTCACCTGGGTCACCTGATGGAAAGTGACTATTGCCGCCCATGAATGCCTGCAATTCAGGAGTCAAAAGCACGTTGCACGTTTTATTGAAGGTTTGAATGCCGTATAGGTCCGGAAATACCGCAGACGGCAATTTGTTCCACAGATTGGTTGTGCGGGGGCAAAAAGTTTCTTGAAAAGTTTAAAGTGGTGGAGTGTCAATTATCTAAGTGATGGGGTGGATACACTCCGTTTCAAACATGTTGCACATTATTTTTTTGTTGTATGTATATATTATACTATTCCAATCCAAAATCAAGTGGGAATCCAACCCACGCCCTCTGGAGTAGCAGTCAGGGTCACTAACCACTAGACCAACAGGCCAGTCCAGACCAGTATTACTTTAGGTCTAGAAAGCGCTGTGTATTACGTCTCAAAATCCTGGAGTTAGAGTCTATATTAGTAAGGCATCTTACCCGCCTGCTTATTATACATACATATTTTATATACAAGTCAACTTTAACACCAAAAAAAACATCCTTCAGCGCCATCTAACGGACACCAGCCGAACTACGTGGTAACCACTAACCCTGAATCCCGCATTGACGATCCTCGCACTAATTAGTACCTATATAACTCAATATAAACTGTTGGGCGTTGATAAACCTTCCTTAACGGCTATGGTACGGTATAGTTACCTAGATCAATATCCAGCAGCGAGGAGTTAGGGCTGATATCCTTCTTCGACGTCTTGATCCTTGGGACTAGCGTGCGCAACATATAATACATATACTAATCTTAATTTTAATTTTTTGACTAATTGTTATCTCAAGTTGAATTTGTGAAATTTCTATTTATTTTATTTTATTTAATCCTAACTTACTTGTTACATAATTTTAACTTTTTAAGTGTTTTAATGCATAATATTATTGTTGTAGTATAGATAGTTCAACTCAGTTGTGTGCGCGGCCCTATGTGTGCGTGGGCTTGTAAATATACAACTTTCATTCGTATGGCAGTTGTCGTACGACTGCCGCGTATAACTCAAGTATAATCATTTTGGATGAATTGTAAGTCATTTTATTGAACTTACATTAAAAAAAAAAACAGAATTTATTTTATTTTATTTAATTGCTAATTCATTAATAGTTGTTTTATTGTTATGTTTATTTTAAATCATGTTAAATTAATCATTTTCCTATCTCCTATTTTATTTTAAACTTGTTAAACCGTTATTTTCAGTGCATGTGGTGTTAGCCTGTAAGTGATTATTGCATGCACACATGTTTTGTCTTTAAGTTAATTCTGTAATGTTTAGTGTAATAATCGTTGGCTGACCAAATAAATAAAAAAATACCTACATATTTATTAAGTAATTCAAATTCCATATGTTTATTCTATAAAATTGTTAACTTGTAAATGTTAAGCTGCATGTGTGGTATAACTAGGATTGACCAGGTCAGGAATGGCTACATTAAAGAAAATCTGAAGTAGCGCCAATGGAAGAAAAGTTGAGAAGCAACTGGTTTTCTTATTCTTATTTCTTATTTTAAAAAAGACAACTCCCGCGCTAGGAATATATATTTTATATGACATAAGGAACACCCAGACTCAGAACAACAATTTGTGTATCACACAAAGTGTTGTTCCATGTGGGGATCGAACCTACAACACCCAGGGCAGTAGGAAGCGGCGAGGTGACCGCCTAAACGACTGCGCCATCCGTGCAGTATCCAAGTATGGTGACGGATTAAGAATACAGTGGCGGCACAATGAGCTTTCTTCTTCCACTATCCTCTATCACTCGTTAGTTCACTGATTACTCTCTTCCTAGCTATATCCTCTTTCATGCAGTTCATCCCTCTTTTCTTTGGTCTTCCTCCGCTCAACAACACACAGTCAATCAGTCAACTTCGACACATAAAACTTTCAACACTACATGTTGATAATCTCTAAACATAAACCTAAGTAATTCAATGTTTTATATAATATAATATATCTCACACACGGCCGCCTGATCCCAAACTAGGCAGAGCCTGTGCTATGGTAACCAGACTGCTGATAAACATACTTATATATTTCTAAATACATACATATTATAGATAAATTACACCCACACACAGAACACATGACCGTGCTCATCATACAATGGGTGGACCTTGCACCTACCGACTATTACTTTTTCCAAAATTTAGACAACTTTTTAGTGGGTAAAAAATTCAATTCCCGAGAGGCAGTACAGAATGCCTTTGAAGAGTTTGTTGCCTCCCGTCCAGCTGATTTTTACAAGAAGGGCATCAATAAACTGCCAATGCGTTGGCAAAGATGCGTCGATTGCATGGGTGATTACTTCGAATAACAGAAATAAAAAAGTTTGAAAAAATAAGTACTTTCACTTATTGCATACAAAACGGCAATTTCATAGGTAAAGACCTAATATGTAAACAGTGAGGTAGTCGTGTGGTAGAGAACTGACCGGCCCTGGGCGTGTCGTACACCTCGCTGGGTTCGGGGATGCGGAACCTCTCGATGAGCAGGTCCAGCAGCTCAGCGGGCGAGCAGAAGGAGCGGTACGTCGTGAGAAACGTGCGCACCAGGTTCAGGTCCGCGTAGATGTGGAACGTCAGCCTCTCCACCAGCTTTAGAAGAGTCGCACCCTGCACAAACAACAATAGATTTTTATCCTGAGTCCATTCTAAACAATATTTGTACAATATCTGTCTCTGTACATTTCATCCGAATCTGGTACAATTCTAGAATCATTCTGGCGTAATAGAATTTACCTACTTCCTTTGTACGGCACAAAATGCACATAGGCCTCCCCTTAGAAAGGAGGTTTTGGCCTACTATAGCATGCTGGCCAGACGGGTTGGTATAGGGTTTGTTTCAAGTTTTCCTTCTCTTTGCGGTGCTGTTGTCCTGCGTTATTTGGACTATTGTTAAGTATTAATTGGATTAATTCGTAAATACAGTTTTTTCAGACGCTACAAGGTATTTTATGCCAAATTAACGAACAGTAACAGTATATACGGACGCGAAGCAATAAATTAATATTTTTTATTTATTCTTTATGCTCAAGTTGTACATTGGCGGACTTAATGCCATAGGCATTATCTCCCAGTCTACCTTAGGGTGGTGCTGAAATGTGTGGCTAGGTGCACTAGACATTAATAGGAGAAGTAATGGTTTAAGACATTTATTTCCTCAAAAGAATATTTACATTCGTTTGTCAGAGAAAATACAAGATAAAAATAGTAAGTAACAAGTGCCGGAGCGGTGCTTAAATTACATATTATTGTTTTTACATCTAAGTAAATAAATATGTAGTACAAAACTATTAATAAATAAATAAAGAGGGTAGCTATCACAAAACAAAACCAGCCGGACCCACGCCTGCCGAGATTACCAAGTTTGCAATATTGCAAGTTGTAAACAAGTATGTTATGGCCGTATTACGTATTGTATGGCGATTGCTATCGTACTTCTATCGAGTGACTGTTATCATGTTTTTTTTTTTCGTTTTTAAATTAGCTTTTATTTTTTTATACCATTAATATGTAGCCTACTGTTTGTTAAATATTAAAATATAATATTCAATATTTTTTTTTATAGTGGTTTATTTATTAGTTCTTTTTTTTTATTATTATTAGTGAGTAGTAAAAGTAAAAGAAAATGATTGATAAGTTGGGCAGAAGTAATGCGATAAATATACATACATTCATACGTACCAAATACATACACTTACACAAATACTTATAAAGCAACATACATACATAAGCCTAAAAATCAATAATATATAACATTTCAAGGTTGTGATGAATCTGCTAGCGTATCCAGGATGCGAGCTCTAGCTTTCATCTTGAATGAGAGGCGGCTGGGTGCTATCCTGACATCGAGAGGGAGAGCATTCCAGAGGAGTACGGCTTAAATTAGGAACAAGGAGTGGACACAAGCAGGAGTATGAGTGGGGCAGAGCGGAAGAGGATTGTTAGCTGACCGGAGGGTTCTATCGTGGTTGGAACGCAGAAATTGGAATGAAGATGTCAGGTAGGAGGGGGAAATGGGGTGAGTAGATAATGGAATAGAGAGTGGTGAGGGCGCGCAGGTGTCGGCGCTATAGTATAATAGTGAGCCAGTTCAATTCGCGACGAAGGGAGGAAACATGGTCATATTTGCGAAGGTTGAAGACGAATCGAATGCAGTTATTCAGAAGGCGGTCATATTTATTGAGTAGGTCTGCATTCAGGTCATAATAGCCTACATCACCATAATCCAGAATGGGGACAGTAAGGGTCTGTACAAGCATCGCTTTTGTCTCGGAGGGGAGGAAATTCTTGAGTCGATAAAGGGCCCGTAGCGTACAAGTGACTCTGGCTGACGCTCGTGACCTGGGTTTGCCAGCTGAGCTTGGAGTCGATTATTAGGCCTAGGTTCTTAACGGCAGGACTATTAGGGATGACTATGCCGTTAAAGGTAATGGGTGGCAGTTTACCTATTTTTTTATTAATAAATTAAAATATTTGTTTCATATTTTATATTATTACGTTTTAAATAAGTACCTACACACATTTTTAGGATAATCTTTATATATATAATTCTTCTGTGAGTGTGTATGACACTGAACTTCTCTCAAACGACTGGACCGATTTTGATGAAATTTTTTGTGTGTGTTCAAGGGGATCTGGGAATGGTTTAGATTCACAATTTTGTCCGCTGGACAATGTTTTTTTAATTAATTTTTAATTTATTAGTAGTTGTTGATTTTGGAATGTTTTACATTGGATCAGACAGACGGCGCTACCATCGCAGTGTCAAATTTGAAAGGACAACGTGTGTCGGGTCCGCTAGTTTAATATAAAAATGATAACTTGATTTTAGTAACTATGAATTGTAAAAAGTAGCACACCTTGTAAGGTCTCCCTTGTCTTTGAGATTATAAAGCAGGCTATAGGTTAACACATTGCAAAGTTAAGCACTCCTAGCCAAGTCAGTCTATGGATGGGTGACCATTCTTAACACGTTGAGACCCCTAAGTGCCTCGAAAAGCACGTTATACGGTTAGTCTCGGTTGTCATATGAACATCTGTGGCAATCCTTATGGGTACTTGGAACCATAAAAAGTCCCACAACAATATTTCTACAGAACTTCGACATCGCCCAGTACTTGAGTTGTGAAGGTCTGATAACAGTAAAATTGAATAAATTGGAGTTCAGACGTATCGTAGTAGAGTTAAGGCCGACCCCGATCTCGTTTGGGAAGAAGGCTCAGAGGGATGTACACTGTAAACTATAGCTATAATAATAATAATATTGTACCACATTAACACAACGCCATCTAGTCCCAAACTAAGCAGAGCTTGTACTGTGGGTACTATAACCCGGCAATCTCGTGCGCGACTGTCCCGCGGGGTGACAGACAGTGGCGGGGGCGAGGTAGCGCGTCATTCTAGCACACGGCTACACGCGTTTCCCTTCCCCGCTACACCACCCGCTACCCGCTGACATCTTCAGTACCTCGTCCCCGCCACCGTCTGTCACCCCGCAGGACGGTCGCGCACGACGTTGATGGACTTTAGACAACTGATTTAAATACATACATACTTTTTTTTGTAAATTCATAGTAACACCCAGACCAAATCAAACATTAAACGTTCATGCACACAAACGTTTGACTTGAGCGGGAATCGAACCCGCGACCTTCGGATTAGCAGTCCGTTACACAAACCACTGCGCCATCCGATCGTCCACAGAGTAAGTTGCAGATTATAAAGATTCATATTACTAGTAGTTAGGAGGCTTCTGTCTTTGGAACCCAATCACAGAGTACCCAATGTCCTGTCCTGATCCTGTCCTGTACCCTATATAATATTTTGATTAGATCTAAATAGAAGTCATATTACCTTGATGAGAGGTTGTGACGCGTGATGCCTGGTGGTGGAGTGGTCCTCCAGCACGATGTTGGAGGGGGAGTCGGGCACCGCGAACCGGTATAACGACACGGGAGGAAGCTTTAGCGGGTGTCGCTTCTCTAGGTCCAGGAGTATACTGAAAAAAGTCATGAGCTCTGTTTGAAATCTGTCTTGTTAATGTATTTCTTTTTCTTTCTTTAAAAAAAAAGACAACTCCTGCATTAGACTGCAACATATTGTGTGTAGCAGGGGACTTTACAAACATACACGAAACGAACACAAAGAACGCCCAGACTCAGAACAACAATTTGTGGACCACACAAAGTGTCGTCCCATGTGGGGATCGAATCCACAACACTCAGAACAGTAGGAAGCGGCGAGGTGGTGGTATTTTTGAAGAGTAAGTAAGCGGTTACTATTTTCTTTCTTTTCTTTTTTTATAAAAGACAACTCCCGCATTAGGAATAAATCCTGTGTCGCGGGGGACTTTACAAACATACATGAAACGGACACAAAGAACACCCAGACTCAGAACAACAATTTGTGGATCACACAAAGTGTCGTCCCATGTGGGGTTTGAACCCACAACACTCGGCGTAGTAGGAAGCGGCGTGGCGACCGCTTAAACCACTACGCCACCCGTGCATTGCTTTTGAATAGTGTATTATAAATCTTATTTTTCGCTTTCCGCCTTACAGTCTGGACCTCGCATTCTGGGACTTCTTTTAGTTTCCCAAAATTAAAGTCAAATTTAGGGAAACAGGTTTTATAAGCCCTAAATTGGCGGTGAATGTGTTCCATGAAGCCATTGAAAAGGTCCCTAAGTAAGACTGGTCCAACTGTTTTATACAGTGGTTTTAGCAAATGCATCAATTGCGAGGGAATATACTTAGAAAAAGAAATAAATGTATTGTATTATTTTCATCATCATCAACAGCCTATACTAGTCCACTGCTGGACATAGGCCTCTCCTTAGGAAGGAGGTTTTGGCCTACTATACCACGCTGGCCAGACGGGTTGATATAGGGTTTGTGTCAAGTTTTCCTTCTTTCTGCAGTGCTGTTGTCCTGCGTAGTTCGCTCCCTTAGTTGACTCTTACGACACCCACGGGATGAATAGGGGTGGTGACACTCTGTATTCTTAATCCGTCACCACACGGATTGTATTATTTTATGCCTAACAATGCCTATAAAAAAGCTCGCAACACAGGGCGCTCTCTTTTGCTCTTCAGACGTCGGGACTTACGTTAAGTGTTCGGTGTCATCTGCATGGTGTTCGTAAGATTCAGTGCATAATTAATTTAACGGGCCTGTTGGTCTAGTGGTTAGTGACCCTGGCTGCTAAATCAGAGGTTGTGGGTTCGATTCCCACCCAGAACAAATATTGTGTGATGGGCACGGTCATTTGTTCTGTGTCTGGGTGTAATTTATCTATAATATGTATGTATTTAGAAATATATAAGTATGTTTATCAGCAGTCTGGTGACCATAGCACAGGCTCTGCCTAGTTTGGGATCAGACGGCCGTGTGTAAGATGTGTGAGATAAAAAAAAATGTGTTATTCGCGTAATTGCCATGATTAGGTTCCAAGTGTATTAAATTAACCAATCAAAGTAGTATTACCTTAATTTGTGTACCTGTGTGTATTTTTTTAATCGAAATTAATAATTCTAATTAATCTTAATTTAATAATTTCTTGTCTTATTTATCATTATATATTAATTTATACGCTTTTTCTTATGTTCTTGTTATACTAACATTAAAATATTCTCGTTTCATATTTATACTAATATTATAAAGCTGAAGAGTTTGTTTGTTTGTTTGTTTGTTTGAACGCGCTAATCTCAGGAACTACTGGTCCGATTTGAAAAATTCTTTCAGTGTTAGATAGCCCATTTATCGAGGAAGGCTATAGGCTTTATATCATCACGCTAAGACCAATAGGACCATTTCAAAAACGGAGAAAATTTATTACTATTGAGAGACGCAGACGAAGTTGCGCGGGTCAGCTAGTAATTATTAGTTGGGGATCTAAAGTTGTGGCGATTTCCAGATACAATGAAAATTTATACTGTAATTACGTTTTAACGTCGACACATTGAACTACAAGAGTTGTTCGGTAGTAATTCATCATCAACAACAGCTTTTAATAGTCCACTGCTGGACATAGGCCTCTCCTTAGAAAGGAGGTTTTGGCTTACTAGTACTAGTTACTTGGTAGTAATTCTTCTTCTCAGCCTATGCTTGTCCACTGCTGGACATAGGCCTCTCCCAATGATTTCCAGCGGGGACGGTTGATTGCGGCCTGCATCCAACGGTAGTAATTGAATTTATCTAATTAATGCTGCATCGCGATATGAAAGTTCTCGCGCCGATTAGCGTATAAATACATCAGTACAACTTCCTGTCATCAACCGTTGGGGGTTACTTATGATTACGTCGTCTGGTCGGAGGATTCTCCTTTTGTGTTGAAGGGACATGACACTTATACCTCTACAGGGGTGACCTGGATGTAAAGAATTAATCAACCTGTATCCGAGGCCAGTACTACTTGATATAATAGTTACAAATTCCCGAACTATTAATTATTACTTAGGTGCGTTTCGGGGCTCCCCGACACGGTTCGGACCGGTGGGCGGTGTGTATGCGCGCGTACCTGTCCAGCACCCTGTCCAGCATGGGCTTGGTGTTGAGCATGACGAGGTCGCACATCCAGTTGCGCTTCTCGGCGCAGGACGCGCACGCCAGCAGCACCGCGCCGCCCACGCGCGGGCACAGCTCCAGCATGTGCCGGCCCTCTGCGGGGAAGCACGTACACCCACTTTCATATATAGCCTTTCTCAGGAACCAAACTATCTCCATACCCATTTCATCTGAATCGGTTCAACAGTTATTGATTCCCCATATAAACTTTCCACCCACTTAAACAATAATTTCTGGGATAAAAACTATCCAATGTCTATTCCCGGGACTCCACTATCTCTACACCAAATTGTTTCTTTTTTTTTTTGTTTTAAAAATACAACTCCCGCATTAGGAATGTATCCTGTGTCGCGGGGGACTTTACAAACATACATGAAACGGACACAAAGAACACCCAGACTCAGAACAACAATTTGTGGATCACACAAAGTGTCGTCCCATGTGGGGATCGAACCCACAACACTCCGGCGACCGCTTAAACCACTACGCCATTAATTCCCCATATAAACATCCCACCCACTTAAACAGTGATTTCTAGTATAAAAACTATCTTATGTCCATTCTCAGAACTCAAACTATTTCTTTACCAAATTTTATATTCAACGATTTAAATATAGGTCACAGACAGACACTTTCTCATTTAAATTATTATTGATTCTAACTTCGAAGACAGTTAGTAGATGATAAAATTGACAAATCATTATTTGAGTGACCGTTTTCTCTGTTACTAAATTTAATTTATCTATAATATGGATGTATTTACAAATATGTAAGTCATCATCATCATCAACAGCCTTTAATAGTCCACTGCTGGACATAAGCCTCTCCTTAGAAAGGAGGTTTTGGCCTACTATACCACGCTGGCCAGACGGGTTGGTATAGGGTTTGTGTCCAGTTTTCCTTCTTTTTGCAGTGCTGGTGTCCTGCGTTGTTTTGCGCCCTTAGTCGGCTCTTACGACACCCACGGGTATGAATTGGGGTAGTGACATTCCGTATTCTTAATCCGTCACTACACGGAAATATGTAACGGAAATATATAAGTATGTTTATCAAAAGTCTGGTTACCATAGTACAGGCTGTCTAGTATGGGATCTGATAACCGTTTGTGAGATATCACAGTCCACTACTGGGCATAGGTAACTTCTATTGCACTTCGATGACATATGAAAAGTTATTCTCATTAGACAATGGCACTCACCCTCCGTGTCCGGTCTATCAACCAGCTCCAACTTCCTTACATGCAGCTTCTCCTTGAGCTTCAGTTGTTGAGAGGATCCGGAACTGCTGCTACTACTGCTGCTGTTCACGCTCACCTGCAACGAATGAACGTCACAAAAACACATTAACACTACATATTTACATTTACGGACTTTTTACACGCTTTATATTAGCTTCACTTGTATGTTTGTAACCGACTCCTTTGGGCGTGATTTTGACTGACTTTAAACGGTCAGAATTCGTTCAAACTTTGTAGATATATCGAGGACCGATGACAATAAACTAATTAAAACAAAAATAGTTTTAAAAAACTGAAAGAACACGCTTTCTATAGAAAACCAAACTAAAAAATAGAAAATAAATTTGAAAAAAAGCGTGGGGTGCTTTTTACTATTGACAACAGGCACCCAACGTTTTTTTTATAATGTGAAGGCAAACACCATGACAAATAGACGATAGTATCCATAAAATGTGAATGTGTGTTTCTTTGTTAGCTTTCACGCCTAAACCAATAAACCGATTTAAAAATTCTTACACCAATAGAAAGCTACATTATCAGTAAGTAACCAGTCAGTTTTTACCACGATAATCAAGTGGCGCCGGGGACAAAAACTAGTATTTTATCATTCGTTTTATGCAGACTGATTTCATTTTACATCATCACATCAACAGCTTTTATTTATTTATTTATTTTAAACTTAATGCACATATTGTACAAAGGCGGACTTAATGCCATTAGGCATTCTCTCCCAGTCAACCTTCAGGTGATGTAGAAATATGATGCGGTAGGTGCGGTAGGTGCGGTAGGCGGTTTAATAGTCCACTGCTTTACATAAGCCTCTCCTTATAAAGAAGGTTTTGGCCTACTATACCACGCTGGCCAGACGGGTTGGTATAGATTTTATTTAATCTATTTATTTTTATTTAATATTGTACATACTACTATAATACTAATAATATTTGGACATCTGACACACAACGCCATCTAATTTCAAGCTAAGCAGAGCTTGTACTATGAAAGCTAGATTGACTGATAGAATACTTTTATACTTTTTTTTTTGTAAATATATACATATTATACATAGAAAACACACAAACTCCGAAACAAATATTTGCAGATCATACAAATATTAGGTCCGACCCGGGAATCGAACCCGAGACCTCAGAACAGCATTTGCATACGCTACCACTGCACCACTAAGGCAGGCGCTTGGTTATGAAGAAACCCAACTAAACCCTTAGCAAAGTTTCTGTACTAAATTAGTACTCGTTCATCAGGAAAATAATTATGAATGTGACCTAAACTGCGGCAAATACAAATATGTTTATGTTATGGTATAGAACAGGGATTCCCAAACTATTTAGGGTAAGAGACCCCTTTACTAAAATAAACTAATACCTCAGACCCCCATAGCCAAATTACTGCACGCTTATCAACTTGTTGAGTTTTTTAAAAGTACAACAATGATACTCCCTACCAAAATGTTAGTCATTCTGATAAGAAGTTGGTACACGTAACACAACTAATACAGTATCTTGGAAGTTGCAAATAAGAACTTGTTTACCCCAAAATAATTTTTCGTTTATGTCAACCCCTGGGAAACCGATTTCGACTACAAAGCATCGATATCAATCGCTTTGGGAATCCCTGGTATAGAGGGACAGACGAACAGAATCATGCAACTCAAAAAATGTGTGGTTGCCCTTTGAATGCCTACCTAGTATTGGTATTGGTTTCCGCATTTAGACTCAAGAGTGGTTCTTTATGCGTCGAGAACTGGTTAGCTAGGTGAGGCAGCCAAGCTCCTTCCAGAAGCGCAGAAGCCTCCTGGGGCGTTCGAAGCTTCCTGGGGCCTTAACAGACTTCGAGGAGCGATTTAGTATCGGGAATGATACTTGCCCGTTGTGTGGCCACTCCCTCCCATTCCAGGACTACGTGGGCGTCCGTTTCTTCTGCTTCCAGACATCCCCTGCACAGAGGGCTGTCCGTCGCATTGATGATGAATAGTTGTCGGTTGAGGGCTAGGTGTCCTATTATAGTTTAGACAACTATTCGGGGTGTACCCCTTAGGAGGTTGGCTTCGGTAACCTCAGTCACTCATTATAGTACAAGCTCTGCTTAGTTTGGGACTAGATGGCGTTGTGTGAATGTGGTAGAATATTATTATTATTATTTCTTTATTTCATTCTTTATACATATAAATTACATTTTTAAATATATTTATATTCAAAAACAAAAAATAAAATACATTTAAAAATATAAAAAATAGTATCCCATCGGTATCGGGTACAGAGACCAAGATATCGGTGGTTAGGACTCCAGAGACAGAAACTTCCTCACAATACGTGCCGTATCGAGAAGAACTGCTTTCTGCATCAGACCCTTAATCCAATTATTATTATTATAGAGCCACTTAACAATGGTTTCCTATGAAGCCCATATCACGCCAGCGGAGTCAGCTCATATGTGCAGCAGTATGTCTATCCCATGGTTCACTAACCCTATATCACAATCACCACAAGTCATCCGGATTTACGTATCACTGCTGTTTAACATACTATACTGAGTACAAATGTGATAATTACTGTAATAAATTATTGTTTTGAGGAAGGAAAATATTTGTGTAAGCTATTTATAACATAAGCTATGTATTTATATGATATCGTAACCTAATTAGAAATATACTAGCTTTTCCACGCGGTTCCGTGCGTGTGTGTGTCGGTTTTCAGGGTAAAAAGAGGCCCCGGCGAGCGCGTTGCGAAGCGCGCTCGCTTCCAGGGAGCAGAGGGAACATGGGGTTCCCACACGGAGGGGTCGTCTACCTGTTGTTGTAGATGGTCAGAGTTATGTCGGGGCACCAGTGACTTCCTTTCTAGGGTATACTTGGTTCCCCGGCTATTAGTACCCGAGACGGCGTGCGGTTTTAGTCGGTTTGAGTCCGACATGCCACCGGTAGGTGGTATCCGAGGGGATTTCCGCACGGAAAAAAAAAGGGTAAAAAGGAGCCTATGTAGAATTAAATAAAAACCGGTCAGGTACGAGCCGAACTCGTGCGCCGAGGGTTCCGTACCTACCCAGATTTTACGTAGATTTTCGCGAAAATTTGTAAGAACCAAAATTTTTCTTAATTTTCATTTTTATTTTTTGGAATTATTCCTTTATTTGTGCTGTAATACATTTATTTTTGTCAAATTTCTTGATTCTAGATCAACGGGAACTACCATATAGGTTTTCGACACAAAACCTATAGGGTACTTCCGGTTGACCTAGAATTGTCAAATTTGGTTAAAAGCAAGGTCATACAGCACAAGTATACAAAAAATGCTGAAAAATAAAAAAAGTTGAAAATTTAGGTGAATTCTGGTCCTTTCAAGTTTTCACGAAAATCGAAATTTGCGCATATCTTTTTATTGTGTTGACTCAGGACCTTGATTTTTATACACCTAATAGGGACCATAGACCTCAGTATCTGGTATAAATTGCAACTTGCTAGGTATACCCGTTCCTGAGAAAATCGGTGGCGACACACGGACAGACGGACAAGAAAGTGATCTTATAAGGGTTCCTTTTTTACCTTTTGAAAGCGTAACAAACATACAAACTCAATATCACATTTATAATATACTGTTGCGCCATAGGATTAAATGGTTCGCTTGTATGGAATGTGGAGGACAGCGCCATCTAGTATCGACTCAAGAACATCTATTAAGATTGGGAACAATACGAGTAGTTCTGATCCTTACAGCGCTAGATGGCGCTGCAAGTAACGCGTGACTGATTCTTGAATATTCTTGTTGTCTGGAACGGACTATCAATCTTTGTATTAAAATTCAAAAGCGATATAAAAGCGGTGTGTTGGCCGTTTGGGACAGTCTCGTATTACGACACAGCGAATTAACATCGGAGTGAATTTCAAGTGCGACTAACAAGATATATAGTGATTTCTAGTTTATTATAGTGAGATTTTGTAAATATAGTGAATTAAATAATTAACCGACAATTTTTATTTATTACTAGCTGAGACCCGCGGTGTTACCCGCGTTTGTTGTTATAACCGCGGGCAACGCCGCGGGGCGAAGCTAGTCTTAAAAAGTAGCCTAAGTTACTCCTTATGTCTTCAGCTATCTGCCAGTGAAAGTCCCGTCGGAATCGGTCCAGCCGTTCTAGAGATTACCCGAACAAACAGACAGACAGACAAAAATTGAGAAAAATGTTATTTTGGCATATGTACCGTGTAAACATACATATGCATTTATTAAAAAGCGGTTATTTTAATATTACAAACAGACACTCCAATTTTATTTTTTTGTATAGATGTATAGATATGCCCCGCTCATAACAATATGTAGGAATACTACTAAGACTTATCTCTAATAAAAATTATTAGACCATATTAAAGTGGACTTCAAAGAAACTTCAATGGAGGGCAAGGGTTTAAGTAACTGCTTGAGTACTGACCGAGGGCATGCTGACGAGGCTGGTGATGGGCTTGCAGAGCAGCAGCAGCCCGTCGAACAGGTACGCGCGCCGCTCAGCGATGCGCTTGCCCGGACCAACCTTCGACAGCGTGTCCTCTGGAACAACAAACAACTCATTCTAGCATGTTATTGACCTAATCCATAAATGTAGCTGAAGGTTTCAGAGACAGAAACCTAATCAAGATACGTGCCTTATCGAAAACTACACTGCCTTCGGTATCAGGTCCTTAATCCGGTTTTCCGTGTGGTGACGGATTAAGAATATAGAGTGTCACCACCCTTATTCATCCCGTGGGTGTCGTAAGAGCCGACTAAGGGAGCGAAATACGCAGGACACCAGCACTGCAGAGAGAAGGAAAACTTGACACAAACCCTATACCAACCCGTCTGGCCAGCGTGGTATAGTAGGCCAAAACCTCCTATCTAAAGAGAGGCCTATGTCCAGCAGTAGACTGTTAAAGGCTGTTGATGATTGATGATGATGATGAATCCGGTTGCTTAACGTGAGCATCTGAAGATATCGGTTAAGGCTTTTTACAATCAACTCATGGTCACAATGAATGAAGAATCTAGATCCCACATGTCGACAAGCTCGTGGGCTAAATTTAAATATGTACACCAAAAGCTCTGAGAAATTAAGTAGACATAAGTTTAAGGCATACTTACTGGCTAAACTCAAGGGTATGGGGACACTGACCAAATTAAATCCCTTCTGCGCAACCAGTTTAAATAAGCGTGAAAGCTAAAAACATTAGTTACGCATAAATCCACCCACACACACACACACTGACACAAAGATACAGACACACACACACACACACACACACACACACACACACACACACACACACATACACACACACACATACACACACACACACACACACACACACACACACACACACACACACGCTGACATATATACGCATGTCCACAAGTACATTCCATTATCATGATTTATAAATAATTTATAACTTATATTGTAAAACCATTGTACCTCTTATTAAGGAAGGCACTGCCTCCTAAGATACAGGTTAATCAACCTGGTTTAGGAGATAGAGCACCTATCAAAATGTAACTTTGATGGTTCAATAAACTTGTTTGTTTGTTTGTTTGTACTTATTATTGACGGGCCCGTTATTCGGGGTATGATTATTTAGGTACACTGATTAACCCTAACAGGTGTTCGTGTGGTGACGGGTTAAAAATACAGAGTGTCACCATCCCTATTCATCCTGTGGGTGTCGTAAGAACCGACTCTGGGAGAAAACAGAACTGCAAAGAAACTAACTTAAAACAAACGCTATACCCTATAGCGGGGTATAGTACCCTAGTAACTAGTATAGGCTCTCATTACTGATAAGTAGATAACTCACCTCTAATGAACTCATTGCAGCACTGGCCGATGTCTCTATTGTCCCAGTTGTCCACGATCCTGGCCAGCTCGTTGCACTTCTCGATGGCGAGCTGTCGTCTCGTGCGTGTGGCCATCCTTAGGGTCGCGTCCCTGGAAACAACACATACAATCAGCGCCATCTAGCGATCACACGGTGAACTTCGACATGTTAGGCTATAGAACGCCACTGTCGCCGAGGAGGCAGACAGAAGCATGTTTAAAGTCCAAATTTTGACGATTATAATTTTAGTGCCATTTATATAATAGGGGCAAGTATAATAATTATGATACCTGGCGTGGCATACGCAACCTGTTGGTCTAGTGGTTATTGACCCTGACTGCTAAACCGAAGGTCGTGGGTTCGATCCCCACCCAGGACAAATATTGTGTGATGAGCACTGTCATTTGTTGTGTCTGGGTGTAATTTATCTATAATATGTATCCAATTAAAAATATATAAGTATGTTTATCAGCAGTCTGGTTACCATAGCACAGGCTCTGCCTAGTTTGGGATCAGACGGCCGTGTGTCAGATGTGCGATTTAAAAAAAAAAAAAATAACCGTCATGTCAAAAAAGTTAAGAATATAAAATATATTATTGCACGGCACGTAAAGAAATTTCTATAGGTACAGTAATAATAATAATATTAACACATGACATGTAACAACTAAAATCTAACCCAAGATCTGTCAGACAACCCCTTTTTTTGGTGACGCAGTGGAAAATAGTTTCTAATCTCCGGCTTCTTGGGGACACAAAAACCAGGAGCATGTGGTGTTTCCACTGAAAACCGGCCTCAGGCCTCTATGGTCCCCACGGTCCTCCCAGATCGGCGACGCACCTAAGCCCATCACTCTCGCCTGTCACTAAATGTTGCGGCCTAATCCTAACCCCTACTGCAGTAATCAGCAGTAATCTGCCACCAGAGGTCACCACTCTATTTCACAATTTTTTTTTAAATATCTAACACATCTTACACACGGCCGTCTGATCCCAAACTAGGCAGAGCCAGTACTATCGTAACCAGACTGCTGATAAACATACTTATATATTTCTAAATACATACATATTTTAGACTAGCTGAGACCCGCGGTGTTACCCGCGTTTGTTGTTATAACCGCGGGCAACGCCGCGGGGCGAAGCCTAAGTTACTCCTTATGTCATCAGCTATCTGCCAGTGAAAGTCCCGTCGAAATTGGTCCAGCCGTTCCAGAGGTTATCCGGAACAAACGGACAGACAGACAGACAAAAATTGTAAAAAATGTTATTTTGGCATATGTACCGTGTAAACATAAATATGCATTTAGTAAAAAAGCGGTTATTTTAATATTACAAACAGACACTCCAATTTTATTTATTTGTATAGATAAATTACACCCAGATACAATTATTTGTCCGGGGTGGGAATCGAACCCACGACCTCTGTAGTAGCAGTCAGGGTCACTAACCACTAGACCAACAGGCCAGCCAAAAAAAAACCATTTCAGTGACCCAGATCACAGGAAAGCGAGAGAAAGATATTACACACTGAAACTCCAGTAATTGCATACTCACATTTTTGGTCCGTTTCCTAATGCTTTTATTAATAACTTTTTAATCGGATGTAAGTTACATTCCACCTGTAAAATTAAAATAATTAAAATTTAGTTTTCATAAAATACAGATTGCAATCACAAAAACACATAAATCATCATCATCATTGATGAATTCGTCTATGTAGATACTGTAGAGTCCATAGGTGAATCCAAAGGTTCATCTTCAACATCATCAACAGCTTTTAATAGCCTACTGGACATAGGTGTCTTTTTTTTGTTTTTTCTTTAAAAAGACAACTCCCGCATTAGGAATATATCTTGTGTCAAAGAACACCTAGACTCAGAAGAACAATTTGTGGATCACAAGAAGTGTGATCCCATATGGGGATTGAACCCACAGCACTCGGTGTAGTAGAAAGCGGCGTGGCGACCGCTTAAACCACTACGCCATCCGTGCAGTTTCCTTAGAAAGTAGGTTTTGGCCTACTATATCACGCTGGCCAGACGGGTTGGTATCGGGTTTGTGTCGAGTTTTCCTTCTTTTTGCAGTGCTGTTGTCTTGTGTAGTTTGCGGTTTTTGTAAATAGTAATTAATGTGATGTACACTTGTATGTATGATGTACTGTAAACTGGTGTACAATAAAGTTTATTCTATTCATTAACATTAGAAGAAGGGGTGAGAACAAGGGGTGGAGGGAGGTGAGTACCTGCTTGAAGCTCTCGCGGTCCTCGTTGGCGGGCGCGATCTGCAGCAGCGCCAGCACGTAGTTGTGGTACAGGAACACGTGCGCCACGGGCGCCAGCAGCAGCTTGGGCAGGTAGTACTTCACGGCCAGGCGGAACCCGTGCCCCGCCGTGTCCAGCCGCTCCGACAGCTGACGACAGACCACTCTTTACTACCAGAACACAGACTCTTTGGCCAAAGTAGAATGTTTTGAATACGAATGAGGAATATCAAGCATAGTAATACTAATAGACTAAGCAGCGTTATTCTATTCTTGAAAATGACGATATTCCATAGCACCGTATTTTACCCCCTTTTTTTAACGGGGTGGAAAATCCTTTCGGATCTCCTGTTCCTCGGGGACGCAGGAGTTAGGAGTATGTGGTGATTCCACTAAAAACCACCCCGACGGCCGGCCTCAAGTGTCCTACTCTGGGAGGACCTGGACCATGTTATTTCAGGTCCTCCCCGAATTGACACCATGCCTAATCGGGCCCTATCCCAGGGGAAAAACACATCCGCCCTCAATCGCGACGTGGCGGCCCAATTTCGTCTTACGAGTGAAATTCTACCCCCTCACGAGTGAAATTTCCAAAAATCTTTTCTTAGTGGTAGCTTACAACATAAAAAGCATCAACTGCCAAAATTTCAAATTAGTAGCCCCAGCGGTGTAGGCCGCTACACTGTACAGTGCTTACCGGTGAAAGCAGTTTACAGTGAAGTGGCATATCAGAGGGATTGTAAAGAGTTAATAAATTAGTCAGTCAGTCAATAAAAAATATTCTTTTCATCCAAAAAATATGTATTATAATTTTCAACCAATTCATCATCATCATCAACAGCCTTTAATATTCCACTGCTGAACATAAGCCTCTCCTTAGAAAGGAGGTTTTGCCCTACTATACCACGCTGGCCAGACGGGTTGGTATAGGGTTTGTGTCAAGTTTTCCTTCTCTCTGCAGTGCTGTTGTTCTGCGTAGTTTTTTCCCTTAGTCGGCTCTTACGACATCCACGGTATGAATAGGGGAGGTGACACTCTGTATTCTTAATCCGTCACCACACGGATTAATTAAAGTTTAAATATACCAAAATTCCCGACTATATAAAAGAACGAACGTATGTCTTTGTGTGCATGTGTACGTATACGTATGTATACGTTAGTGCGTGCACGTGTACTTACGATAGGATCGTCGACGATACTCTGCAGCTTGTCCCTCGACTCCTTGCGGGTGACGATGTTGGCGTAGCGCACGTACGCACGAAACTCCTCCACCTCCGCCAGCTCTGAAGGGGGAAAGATGCAAAGTAAGTGAATCGTGATCTGCGGATACATACTCCTATGTACTAGTGATGGGAAAACAGTCCCTTTATACAAATAACAATTGTTAATCTTTGACAGCCATTATAAGACGAGCCCCTCCACTCCATTAAAGGAGAAGGCAAGAAAGAATTAAATAAAGCAAACGCGCTAACATATTGTTGTAGGGGCGAGCCTAGGGAGAGGCATTTGTTCAGCATTTGACGTCTTTCGGCTGATGATGATGATGAACTAAGCAAAGCTTGTACTATGGTAAGCATACTGTTACTGCTGTATAACCGAGATATAACAAATGATTGCACTCATCACACAACTATTTGTCCTGGTTGGGAATCAAACTCAGCATTGAACAACATGTGTACCTTCAAAACAGCTGCCGATGTATGGCGTGGGCGAATCCTGGGACATCTCCATCGCATCCTCCAAGTTGCCCAGCAACGTCACCGTCAGCTCGTATATGTCCACTATGTTGCCGAATATTAGAGAGATTGCCTGCAAAGAGAATATACATTCTGTTTAATCAACTTCAAAAATGTGTATGTATGTTGATGTGTTTTTGTATATGTGTGTGTTTGTATGCGTGTGTGTGTGTTTGTATGCGTGGGTGTGTGTTTATATAATAATAATAAAAATAATAACTTCACACATATCACACACGGCAGTATGATCCCAAACTAGGCAGAGCCTGTACTATGGTAACCGGACTGATGATAAACATACTTATATATTACTAAATACATACATATTATAGATAAATTACACCCAGACATAGACAAACGATCGTGCTCATCACACAATATTTGTCCTGGGTGGGAATCGAACCCACGACCTCCGGCTTAGCAGTCAGGGTCACTAACCACTAGACCAACAGGCCCGTCATATATATGTGTATAATCAATAAAGCACACAATAGGCTGGCAAATGAGCGCTTGGTAGCACGTGTAGGTAGTACTCACATGACTATCTCTATCGAGTATCTTCTCCAGCTCCTCCTTGAACACGCGTATGATGAGGTTGAGGTCCCTGAGGAAGTGCTTCTCGTCGGTGAGCAGGTCCCGCACGAGCTCTGCGTAGGACAGCGAGCCGCGCCGCCCCCCCCGGCCCCCCTTCACGCCGCGCTCCGGCGCCGCCTCCGCCGCACGCAGCTCTGACTCTTGGTAGAACATGTCCATCAGCACCTGACACACACCACAATGACGTATAAACACTTTGGAAAAAAATAACAACACAATTTTTCATAAAATAAGGTATCATCATCATCAACAGCCTTTAGTAGTCCACTGCTGGACATAGGCCTCTCCTTATTAAGAAGGTTTAGAGGTTGAAAACAGCCAAGCGCCGAAACAAATATTTGCAGATCATACAAACATTTGGTCCGACCCGGGAATCAAACCTGAGACCACAGCACAGCAGTTGTATACGCTACCACTGCACCACAGAGGCAATCAAAGGCACGAAAGAAGGAAATAGTAATCTTTAAATGTAAGTTATCCTTGGAATCTTGTAACTAATTTAAAAATAAAGGACAAGGTATCAAAAGCCTTGGACAGATCAAAACTAACTCCTGTCATTTTATCAAATCTAATTATTTTGTAAAAACACAACTCTGGCACTAGGATTATATTAGGTCTTTACCTATGAAATTGCCGTTTTGTATGCAATAAGTGAAAGTGCTTATTTTTTCAAACTTTTTTATTTCTGTTATTCGAAGTAATCACCCATGCAATCGACGCATCTTTGCCAACGCATTGGCAGTTTATTGATGCCCTTCTTGTAAAAATCAGCTGGACGGGAGGCAACAAACTCTTCAAAGGCATTTTGTACTGCCTCTCGGGAATTGAATTTTTTACCCACTAAAAAGTTGTCTAAATTTTGGAAAAAGTAATAGTCGGTAGGTGCAAGGTCTGGTGGTCACATCTGCAACCAGCTTTGGTCAATCGGTCGTCCCCACTGCTCCTTCACGACAACGCACGACCCCATACTGCGCAACAGACAGTCTCCAAGCTGCAAGAGCTGGGGTTGGAAGCTCTCCCTCATCCGCCATACTCACCAGACCTTGCACCTACCGAAAATTACTTTTTCCAAAATTTAAAAAGAAATAAAAAAGTTTGAAAAGATAAGTACTTTCACTTATTGCATACAAAACGGCAATTTCATAGGTAAAGACCTAATATTATCCCGTGTTCAGCCATACATGAAACGGACACAAAGAACACCTAGACTCAGAACAACAATTCATGGATAACACAAAGTGTTGTCCCAAGTGGGGAAAGAATCCACAACGCTCAGCGCAGTAGGAAGCGGCGAGGTGATCGCCTAAACTATCCGTGCAGTTGTGTTTCGTTTACGAGATTCAAAAAGTAATAATAGTAATTAAATTTTATAATAAGCATATGTGTAATGGACATTCTCCATAAAAACTCACTTTGTCAGCACACATAGCAGTCTTGATGTCTCTACTGGTGATGGTGTTATATCCAGACTTTTGGGAGATCTTCTTGACGAAATTGCCAGCCAGCTTGAATATGTCTGCCGCCACGTACTCGATGATAGCCGTCATATAAGACGACACCGAGGAGTCGATCTTGTAGAGGAGCACCTCCTGCGGGGCAGAGAAATTTAAATTATGGACTCAAAGTTCAGATGCACACTACGAGTTGTTGTGAGACACTATGTGTCTGTTTTGAATGTCAAAATAATAGGTTATTTCATGCTCACACGGTTATTCGCACGATACCAATGCCCAAAAATCAGTTTTTTATTTGTCTGTGGCTGTTTGTTCCGTTTAATCTTCTAAAGGATAATATTTTACTACCAGGGCCTCAATTCTGCTATTTTATGGTCACGCCAAGCCACTGTCGTACCACTGACACGCTGAATGATTTATTTATTTTTCCAAATTCTGTTAGAAAAAACCCTTTGAAATTTTACCCGGTCCGGGAATCGAACCCACTAAGTCGCGGGTACCAGCTAGTTTTATGAAATAAAGACAATTTGAATTAGAGCCAGTATATACATGACTCAGAGAATAACCTGAAGTGGCCATAGAGTGATCACATCAGTCGTAAGGTTGGAATTATTATAACCAGACAGACGTAAAACATAAAGAAAATTCGACAGAAGGGCAATGGACTGCCGTAATGATTCATTAAAAAAAAAATGTAACTTCACATCTCACACAAACTAGGCAGAGTCTGTACTATGGTAATAAGACTGCTGATAAACATACATATATATCACTAAATACATACATATTATAGATAAATAACATCCAGACAGAACAAATGATCGTGCTCATCCCACAATTATTTGTCCTAGGTGGGAATCGAACCCACGACCTCTGGCTTAGCAGTCAGGGTCTAACTAACCGCTAAACCAACAGGCCCTTCGAGATAAATATTTCGAAATATATAACACATGTTACAATTTGTGAATTACCGTTTATACGAGGGGTGATCAATAAGTAATGATAATCGAGTATTTCTAGAACGCACAAAAACCCATTTTTTTTTTTCTGCTTGCTTATATATCCACTACTTCAGCTTCAAAAAAATCTATAAATAGGACACCATTACCGGGAGATACATTCATTTGAATACGAACTGTCGAAGAGAAAACATCAAAATGGAGAAAAATGAAATAAGAGCTGTCATCAAGTACCTCTGCCTGAAAAAAATGTCTACCAAAGACATACACAGCGACTTAGAGGAAACATTGGGGGAGTCTGCTCCTCCATATTCCACAGTCGCACGCTGTGCAAAGGAATTTAAGCTGGGCAGAACCTCCACTGAAGATGAACATCGCGAGGGTCGCCCTTCCACGTCCCTTACTGGAGAAAACGTCAAAAAAGTGGAAGATATCGTGTTGGCCGATCGAAGGGTGACCGTAAGGCACGTAGCTGAGGTCACAGGGATCTCCTATGGCAGCGTTCAAAAAATCATTGTCAACAAAATGCATATGAAAAAGGTCTCTGCGCGTTGGGTACCGAGAATGTTAACCGACGAGCAAAAAAAGAAACGAGTCGACATTTCGAGGGTGAATCTTCAAAAGTTCCAGGCCGATAAAGAATTTTTTTGTCGCGTTTTGTGACCATGGACGAGACCTGGATCCACCACTTTGATCCCGAAACCAAACAACAATCAATGACTTGGAAACGAGCTTCCTCACCAACGCCGAAGAAATTCAAAGTGTCAAGTTCAGCGGGAAAGGTTATGGCGTCTATTTTCTGGGATGCAGAAGGAATTATTATGGTGGAATATTTGGAAAAGGGGGCCACTATAACAGGCTCTTACTACGCAGGCCAAATAAGAAGATTGCGAGAAGCTATTAAGTCAAAAAGACGCGGTAAACTGCGCGCTGGAGTGCTGTTTCACCAAGACAACGCCCCGGCTCACAAAGCCGCAGTTGCGATGGCTGCCATTGAAGAAACGGGGTTCGAACTGTTTGAACACCCTCCCTATTCGCCAGATCTAGCTCCCAGTGACTTCTACCTCTTTCCTCGGCTCAAAGAACACCTCCGGGGCAACAAATTTGAGGACAATAGTGAAGTGATGGCCGCAGTAGAGGCATTTTGGGAGGGTCAAGACAAAGAATTTTTTTCTAAGGGAATCATGGGCTTAGAAAAAAGATACACTAAATGTATTAACTTGCAAGGAGACTATGTTGAAAAATAAAATACTTTTTTTAATCTAATAGTTCTGTTTCATATTGATTATCATTACTTATTGATCACCCCTCGTATATAAATACTAGCTGAGACCCGCGGTGTTACCCGCGTTTGTTGTTTTAACCGCGGGCAACGCCGCGGGGCGAAGCTAGTCTAAAAAAAGTACCCTTAGTTACTCCTTATGTCATCAGCTATCTGACAGTGGAAGTCCCGTTGAAATCGGTCCAGCCGTTCCAGAGATTACCCGGAACAAACAGACAGACAGGCAGACAGACAAAAATTGTAAAAATGTTATTTTGGCATATGTAACGTGTAAACATACATATGCATTTAGTAAAAAGCGGTTATTTTAATATTACAAACAGACACTCCAATTTTATTTATTTGTATAGATATGTAAACGGTAATTCACAAATTGTAACATGTGTGATCTTTTTTAATAATTTCTGTGTTTTTTTAGCCGTACCTTTGTAAGCAATTGATGGATCTTGTCCTGCGGGAACGAGCCTTTCCTACGCTTTTGGTTGGTAGATTCCTTGGCGTCTTGGAGCGCCCACCTGTCCAGGGGAGTGGGGAATGTTCGAGCGACTCGTTCTTCCACGTCCTGCAGATATCAAAAATCATTTTAGTTAGTTTACAGATCTAATAATCATCAACAGCCTTTAATAGTCCACTGCTGGACATAGGTCTCTTCTTAGAAAGGAGGTTTTGGCGTACTGTACCACACTGGCCAGACGGGTTGCTATAGGGTTTGTGTCAAGTTTTCCCTCTCTTTGCAGTGCTGTTGTCCTAAAATCCTCGGATACCAACCGCCGGTGGTTATGTCGGACTCGAACCGAACAAAAACCGCACGCCGTCTCGGGTACTAGTTGCCGGGGAACCAGGTGTACCCTAGGAAGGAGATCCTGATACCCCGACATACCTCGGACCATCTACTGCGTGTAGATGACCCCTCCTGTGTGGGAACCCCTATGTCCCCTTTGTGCTCCCGAAAGGGCGGACCCCGGACTGCACTTATGGAGGACGGAGGTCGTTCTGCAACCTCCGGCGCCTGAGTCGTCTGCGATGTCCCGTTAGACCTGCCTCTTATGAAATACGAGAGAACCAATATGTAGAAATACTCTGTAGATATCACCAAAATTAATAACTAAATATCCAATAACGTAAAGTATCATTGGACATCTGACACCGTTAAAATAGGACAGATCTCTCCTCAAAAATAGCAATTGTCGGATCTGAAATAAATCGGGCAACTTCGTGTGGAGGAACGGCTTTCATGTCCCTCCCTCCACCACAAAGGGAGGATCTTTCAACCAGGCGAAGTAATCATGCCTGGCAGGCCGCGGCCCAGCGCTTGATGTTGAAAAGTTATATAATATATACAGGGTGTAAGGGACATCGTAACGAATACTGAAATAGTGTATTCAGACCATCATTCTGAGTCTAAAATCACTGAAATTTTCAGCCGGAAAATTATTTTTATTATGCAATCAGCTGTCAAAGGTTAAGGTCATTCCCCGTTGGTATCGCACAAAAGTAATAACTACACGGGTATTCCGTGCAAACAGTCTACGCACACTAACAAATTGACGACCGGAGGGGAAGCCCCGCGCGCTTCGGCTGTTTAATTAGTTACATTGCAGTTTTTGACCGTATGCGGTATTTATTAATTTGTTTTCGGTGAAATGTTCTGTTTGCACACTGTGATATCATTTTTAACCAAAAAAATGGAGAATTGTAAAAAAATGAATTTTCCGGCAGGAAATTCCAATGAAATTTTTAACTAAGAATCATGGTCTGAATACACTATTTCAGTATTCGTTACGAAGCCCCTTACACCGTGTATATGTTGGTGGACGCGAGAATTTTTCATATCGCGAAACAAGCCCTAAAATCATATGGCTACATATATTAAAGTATTACCTGTACTGTGAGGGGCGAGGGTACGGCGCACAGCGTGGCAAGGAGCCGCAGACACAACGCCTCCACATACTCCAGGGCACTGTCCTCGGCGTTCAACGTCGGGTGCACCTGTTCTAGCACCTGGAGGCAAAACGTAGTGGTTATTTTTTTTGAAGAAAGAGGGTAATCATCATCATCATCATCTCAGCCGAAAACGTCCACTGCTGGACATATGCCTCCCCCAAGGTTCGCCACAACAACCGGTCCTTCGCTGCCCGCATTCAACGGCTTCCCGCAGCCTTCACCGGGTCGTCGGACCATCTTGTGCGTTTTTCAGTATGCGGTCGTTTCGGTATTTTGTTTCGTAGACGGCTCAGCTGATGGCAAATGACTTTCCGCAGTTAAAACAGGCGCAAGGAATACATGCCTCTGTGTCAGGTCTTTTTCTATAAGGGGTTTGGTAAGCCCCAACTCAGGTACTCCCAAAACATAAATGATAGCAGTCGTCACACACAATGTTGGAATAATTTTTAACCCCGCCTTGCTCGGTACAAAGAGTCAGGTGATATTTAATGAATGAATGAATGAAAACTTAGTCAGGGTAAACCACAAACCACAACACAATGAATTTAATACGTTTAATATGCATCATGAAATACACATACAAAAGGTTTTCCTCAAACACAAATATCTTTATTTAATAAAATCTCTAAAGTCATAGATCAACACACACAATAGCAACAATCTCTGTTTTATCAAATATTTAGCAAACTAAATTCATACGTATCGAAATCTCTTATATGCCTGTGCCGATCTAAAACCGCCCATTTCCAAGGGGTTGAGCGTCATGAGAAGAAAGGGCAAAGAAACTCACGGCCCGGCAATAATAATACTATATTGCCAGACTATTGACTGCACAGATGGCGTAGTGGTTTAAGCGGCCGTCACGCCGCTTACTACTACGCTGACTATTGTGGGTCCGATCCCCACATAGGACGACACTTTGTGTGATCCACAAATTGTTGTTCTGAGTCTGGGTGTTCTTTGTGTCCGTTTCATATATGTTTGTAAAAAAATGGAATTCTAACAAATGTGGCAGATCTTGTATTATGTGGCAGACTACAACAGCTAACATAGTTTGCAATGCAATCTATACAAACACTATCTTTTGCAAAACGCTTGCGTGTTTGTCGGTTATTTCGGAAAAACTGTAGCCTATGTTGGTCGCTGATAATGCAGCTTTCTATTAGTTTAATGTAACGGTTTAGTGATTTAGGCGTGAAAGCGTAACAAACAAACACTCACTTTCACATTTTTAATATAAAATATGGAAAGTCTGGATTATAAAGCTGAAGAACTTGCTTGTTTATCTGGTTAAACGCGCTAATCTCAGGAACTACTGGTTCGAATTAAAAAGTTCTCGTCACTTCACGACAAATAGGAGTCAAGCATTCATAAAAAATAATATCAATCCTCTCCTGCCGGCCACTTTGCCCCGCATTTTAAATCTCTGATATCTACTAAGATATTCATTTTTATGATATGCTGTAAAAGGCAATTTTTATCTACATTAAATGCACAACGTACCTAACGTATTTATTTGGATAAGGAATAATACTTTTTTTTTTGTTTTGTAAATCTTTTTAAGACATACAATTCCGTAGAACATTATTTTGATCTATCTCGTAAAGTTTAGCCAGCGTTTAAAAGGTAAGCGCACGAATCATGTTTTTTACGACTTCACATTACAAATCTTTGAAATTATCAGATTTCCTTTACTATAATATGCATGTATTATACATATAAACCCGCCTCTGGAATCACTCTCTCTATTGGTGAAACACACATTAAAATCCGTTGCGTAAATTAAAAGATCTAAGCGTACAGTAGAAAAACTTTTATACTATGTAAAGATCATGAATTAGGTATGAATTAATTAAAACAAACATACTCCAGTGCAGTGATTTGGACAGATCAGCAAGTTTGATGCTCGTCCATAATACCATAATAATAATGGATATATAGAAGTGGGACCCGTGGCACCAAAGAGCTCCTTATCATAGACATGACCTTTCGCCAACAGGTACGTCGTAATCGTAAGAGTTTGGCGACAAGTTGGATAGACTATAAGAAGGCTTGGGCTCTGTTCCACATACAGGGCGTTTGAAGGTGCTGAAGTTTTATGACATTGAAACAACTCGGTGCACTTTCTTGAAGTCTTGTATGAGGCAATGAAGATCAGCACTTCGCTATCCAGGATGTCGACAGACTGTGGTAAACGACGTACTAATAAAGTTCAAGCGGGAAATATGTCTGAGGGTCAGGGTTATGCTATAGGCTGCAGAAAGATGATCAAGTTATATCTCACCTTTTTTATATGGATGATTTAAAATTACTTGCCCCCACTAAATTACAATTGACAGCGTTACTAAAGGTGACGAAAACTTTAGTAATTCTATCAAAGTATGCAGTCATGTATGTAAAGAAGGGCGTGATAGTAGAATCTGAAGGAACAGAGCTTCAGATTCAACAAAACTCAGATCTCTGTCTGCCACTGAAACTTACAAGTATCTGGGTATATCACAGTCGTTGGGAATACCAGAATCTGACATGAAACAAACATTCCAGGAACGCTTTATTAGCCAACTAAGAAAATTAAGTCTTTTATCAGTGGGCAACAAGGTGCGAGCCTGCAATGGTTGGGTCATGCCAGTTCTGATGTATTCCTTTGGTATACTTAAATAGACTCAGACCGAATTAGATGGCCTTGACAGGAGTCCGTACACTGCTGACTGCATTCCGAATGCACCACCCACGTTCATCAGTTATGAGATTGTATATCCCGCGAAAGTTTGGGGGTCGCAGACTATTAAATACAACGCGAGATATGCAATCTCAGAGAATATTTTCTACATACTGATGTGGGAGTGCATTACAGTGGCCACCGGCATCACCCCGCTCGCTCTGGCTAAAGAGAATTGGCGCAAACCTGTAGTACTTAGTACTTATGTTTGCAGGAAAGAATGGAAGGGCAAAGAGCTCCATGGTCGGTTTTATCGAGCCCTTAACAGGTCCGATTTAGACTTAAAAGCATCTACGACTTGGCTACGGTATGGTGATCTCTTCGCAGAAACTGAAGGTTTTGTTTGTGCGATTATGGACGAAGTTATCATGACAAATAACTATCGGAAGTATATCCTGAAAGACGGTACGGTTGACATCTGTCGGGCATGCCACAGTCCTGGGGAATCAATCAGGCATATTATTTCTGGTTGTTCTCGTCTCGCGGTGAATAACGGTGAATATTTTCACAAGCACAACCAAGTAGCCAGATTCGTACACCAACAGCTTGCCCTTAAATACCATCTTGTGAATGAGGTGCCATACTACAGGTATGTGCCTGACCCAGTTCTAGTGAATGGTCGGGCCACGTTGTATTGGGATAGATCTATTATTACAGACAGGACTTTTGTTGCCGATAATGTTGTGATAGAATGATTGTTGATATCGTCGTTCCTCATGACGAGGATCTCGTGAAAGTTGAAAAAGAAAACTAATAAAATATTTAGATTTAACTCACGAGATTGTGGAACGTGGTCTGCTCACGGATTGATTGCCAAGAGCCTCAACCAACACCTTAAGAGGCTTCCATTAGACGACTGGATAAAGGGTCTGATGCAGAAAGTAGTTCTCTTTGACACGGCCCGTATGGTGAGGAAGTTCCTGTCTTTGGAGTCCTAACCACCGGTGTCTTGGTCCCTTTACCCGATCTACTATTTTTTATATTTTTAAATGTATTTTGTTTTTCTTTTGTAATATATTTAATAATGTAATTAATATGTAAGTAATGTAATAAAGAGAATTATAATAAAAACACACATTTAAAAATGATATGAGTAGGCCTTTGAGGAATTTGTTGAATGCCATTGAAAACAGAAGAGGCAAAATGGTTGGCCACTTGATAAGACACGACAACTTCTTACAAATTCTTAATAATAAAAAAAAAAACAGAATAATACTGGAAGGAAAAATAGAAAGCAAGTGAAAACGAGGAAGGCCTAGATCAACATACATACAGCAAGTGAAGGAGAAAGTTGGAATTGTGGCCTATCAAGACCTCAAACGGATCCAGGAAATAGAGGAGTGGCAATTGCTCCAGCTACAAGGGCTTGGCTCTTAAATTGCGAGAGGCCTTTGATGATATGATGACGATATTAAATATTTGGTGACACCATAGTTGCTAAGACATCAGATAAGATCGTGAATGAGTTGTTACAGATATGAAACCCACCTACCACTGTCAATGTTGACACACTCCTAACACTATGGAGGGTGAAGAGCATGAGCGGGGAAAGAAGTCTAAAAAGTGTTAAGCTATAAACAGTAAATAATAGTTCTAAAACAGAATAGCACTAATGTAGCCTACGGGAATAACATGAACATAGCAGTTTTTGACGGAGTGAAGTTTGCTGAGTTAAAAAAAAGTTATTACACGTTTAATTTTATTGTTTGTAAAATTCATTGATATTTTCTATCTAGTGCAGTGACTTGTTATTATTTATGCCAATAAAAAATTTACCCAGTGTTTTTTCAATGTTTGTTTTCAATTCCTCTATCTTGCTCTAACAACTTTTGGTGCTTTCTTTAAAAACTTATCCTGATGCAGTATTTGTATACATGAATAAATAATAATAATAATAATAATAATATTATTATTATTATTATTATTATTACATGAATAAATGTATGTACATAATAAGATGTTGTCTGGGTGTTATCTATACAAATAAATAAAAATGAAGTGTCTGTTTGTAATGTCAAAATAATAAGTATTTTTCATGGTTACGGTTATTTGCACAATACCTATGCCTAAAAACCAGTTTAAATATTTTTTGTCTGTCTGTCTGTTTGTTCCGGGTAATCTTCAAAACGGCTGGACCGATTTTGATATTCCTTTACTACCAAGCAGCTGTTTATAGTAGTAGTAACTTAGGCTATTTTTTCTCTCAGAAACACCCTATAAAATTTTGACAAATTTTCAAATTCCAAACGAGTTGCAGGCACCAGCCGATAAGGTAAATCGATCAACAGAAATGGAGATGGACTGGCCACATGATGAGAGCAAATACAGAAAGATGGAGTAAATTAGTGACTGTCTGGTATCCAAGGGACGGTAAACATAGTAAGGGGTAACAGAGAAGATGGGAAGATGAGCTCAAACAAACGGCGGGCCCCAATTGGAGGAGAGTGGCTTGTGACAGACACCAGTAGAAGGCGTTAGAGGAGGCCTTAGCCAAAGGCACACTGAATTGAGGGACATATTATAACAACACTTATTATGGAGAAACATAAACAATTCAGAATAAAAGGGCAAATAAATAAAAAATATGTTCATGAATAATATTATATTAAAAAGTTATCAGTGTTTATATATCTCTTTAATGTACTCACAGACTTAAATTAAGTTTAGTCATTAATGTGGAACTTTAGATTGTGATGTTTCTAACTTTGGCAACCAACAAACCAAGCTTACACATAAATACAATACAACTATTGTCTGAATTTCAATGAGTAACTCGTAATTGAAGTGATTTTTCAAAGAAATTCAGTAATTTAAGTGGTTTTTTAAACTCGCCTAAATTATAATAAAATAACTTTTGTTTTTAATTGAGGCTAAACTACGTGCAGTTACCGCTACAATGCAATCGTTTGAGATCAGAACGTAGGTAGATTGCCTTTGATAAGATATCAGGAACCTTGATACTAGCCACACGAACTGAAAATGGTATTATTGAAGTTTATAAACATCTGGGCGCAATTACTGACCAAAATACTTCAAGTCACACTGCTCTATGACCATTTCGAGAGTTTTACACAACTTTGAAGAGTATTGACGAGTGTAGTAAGACGTTTCACAAACAATAAGCCAAGATAGTCATGTTAAAGAAGCATACCTTTCGAAGAGCTGATACAAGTAATCCCCGCCATTTCTCCGCGTTCTCCGGGTCCAGAAAGTCGTACCCTCGCGTCTCCTCCACTGTGGGTAGCATTGTAAGAATATGCCCCGCGCCGAATTCATGTAAACACTATAATGTTATCACATTGACAAAACATATAAAACCATTTCTGGTTTCACGGAAACTCAGCAGCTTCCACACTCGTTTGTGTACTTTAAAATACACGATAATATGTAAAAATTATTTGTTTTGAATGTTTTATACAAATATGTATATTTGCCAAATTGAATTAATTGATAAATATATTCCTCGATTCATTTGGTCGGCTAAACGACGCCATTTTCAATTTATTTATCATTGGTCCGCTCTCGTTTCGACAATATTCCACAGACAATCTTTTTGATTTCATAAACTCCATAGACAAAATAAAGCTTTTCATCATACAAGGCAATCAAAAGCTTCAGACTAAAGATTACTTCTTTATTTAATAAAATATTTAAAATAATGAAGGTATATCAAAACCTCATGGCCGGTATGTTATCGTTCGATTAAATTACTCTGGTGGACCCATCTTGATATAGATTATATATAATAACAAGAATAAATAAGAAAATGCTTAATTTGCATTTCCATTCCACTCTGCATTATTTTGTCCCATTTCAGGGCAATCATATTGATGTTTTATACCCTCTCTCAATAAATCAGCAAAAAGCATTTATTTCGATTAGCGATCAGTTTTGTAATAATTGTGACCACAGTGATAACAATTTTTATATCAGTAGAACAGAAAAAGAAAATATCTACGATCCTAGGATCCTACACTGGATATGACAATTGTGAGATCATGGCGTCACATGGGTGTTTGGTCGGGTTTATTGCGCCGTATGAAAACGCGAAATTCAAAATAAAAAATTATGATAGAGAATGGCGTTAATAGGTAAATCACATGACGATATGGTTTTTGTATGAGAAGGTTTTTAAAAACACGACGAAATACTATTAGAATGTAAAGATTATTTAATGTTAAGGGTTATTAACCCATAGTCACTGTATTAAACTATCAGGGGTAAAAGACTGTGGAGATTTTGATAAAAATTATGATGATGTAGAATGTGACATGCAAAGAACGTTTTAGGCTTCGTTTTATTCTAAAATTTTAAGCTTTGTACAAATCTATCGTATGATTTTAGAAACTTAACTTGGGTTTTTTCGTATTAAATTGAATTTTCATATTTTATACCTCATCTTATTTTCTCCTCTCTAACTAGCACTAACTCTCTAACATTAGATATTCTTAGGACTGATTTTCCTTTGAACCCTATTTAATATTTTCGGTAAATTGGCCTTGGTCGGAGTTATCGTTACTCAAACATTGGAGTGACTTTATATAAAATTTAATTTGAAAGACAGGAAAAGGGTTGCCAATGCAAGGCTTTTGTCGTACGTCTACCTTTCTACAATTTGTTAACATAACTCCTCAAATCTCGAAAAAATATTAATTTGAAAACGAAAATATTAAATTCTCATTATTTATAAAATGAGTTTGATATAAATCTAAGACGCCCACTTAGTAATGAAAATAGCATGCAAATTTGTCAAATGATTAAAGTACTTATACAATATTATTATTGTCTTTCCTTGGTTCAACCATGTATCAATTATATTTGGCTCTAGTTCCATTTCTTATTCCTATTCCTTATTCTTTGTAAGAAATTCCTTAGTGTAATAAAAATTGTTTTTCATAGGCCACCAACGTAGTTGTATTATAAAATTATTTAAAGGTAATGTCTTTTTACAATTTGGGCTTTTATTAAATATTTTTATGCACATAGTGTAAGCGTTATTTTGCAGTCGACTACTTCTGGGTCCAGAACGAGTCTGTCTGGGTTCCTTATGTTATCACGCCGAGAGACGAGTTTAATGGATTTCCAAAATTGACAATAATCTAGTTTTTAAATCATTGTGCTCCGAAACTTCAAAACGCAAGTTAGTTCTGTAAGGAACTGCTTAAATGAATAGTTGTCACTGTTTAACTAACTAAAGGACTAGATTTTTTATTATGTAGAATGAAGTGAAAATTGGTTACCAAATTTAAAAATATCATTTTTTTTAACTTTGCATATGCATTTTCGTATTAATGTATGAAGTGATATTGTCGCCGGACCATTTGCGCTATTTGCCAGCGATGGCCCTGTGACAATATCACACGACAATGGCCCTACGACAAAATCAAATGATTTTGATTTCGGCAACCCCCTACCGGACAACCAGTGGGATGATTACGGATTTTATATCTGGTCAAGTTATTTTTATCCTTACCTGTATGAGTTTAGAAATCATATTACTTTATTTCGATATATATATACTATATATCTTGGCATGTGTCAGAACGCCGCAGCATGTCGTGTCATGCGGTTTCATTCTACGAATTATCATGACATCGCATCCCACGAGGTCTTAGGTCACCGGTCACAGACTTCCCGTAAAGTAATATGGATTCTAAAGACAATGAAATATAGATAAAAAGAACTTGATTGGAAATAAAATCCTTGAAAGCCCCTCCCGGTCCAACTTCGCCCTCTCCTTCGGGGACATAATTTGCTACTAGAAGGAGTTAGCGGAGTTCTAAGCCTTGTATCATGGCCACAATCAGTCACGAGCTCACGGCTATGCTCTACACATGCCGGGCATTCTGGCAGCATGTCAAGCTTCGTGTCCACGCTTTAGCTACCGCATCGGATCAGACACAGGTGATCTCCAAAACATCCTTTGCGTCAGCCTGTTTCAGATTCCTCTCCAACCTTTCATAACGGATCTTACCGCAGCAATTTCCTGAACATAAAACTATCGATTGGCTCGGGATTTTTACGAATCCCGCGACGGTGTCTGGAGTGATTTAAATAATACATTCTTACGGTTAATAACGTAGTTTGAAAATTATTAACGTTTGCATTTATTTTCTTATACTGATCAATAGAATCAGATGTTACTGTTACGTCTTAATAAAAAAATATTATTCATGACATGACATGATAAACAACTTATTCGTTTCGATTTCTGTTTTTGCCGCCCCTCTGAAAATGCAACCTGTGTGCAGTGCACGCTCTGCACTCTTGTACCCGCCCTAGTCGTAGCTTATCTTTGGATAATTCTTCATTTGCTACATGGATTATGTTGAAAAAAATATAATAATATTCTCACACATTTCACAAACTGATCCCAAATTAGACAAAATGAAAAGGTGAAAAACTATGGAGTCCATGGACCCCCAGTTGGAACAAAGTTCCGCAAGAAGCGTCGGAAAAAGTCTTATTACACATTTTACGGCCCCGTCAAATCGGCCTCTCTGTGCTCTCAAAACGTGTAACGCGCGAGAAGGAACTTCGTTTCAATAAAAAAAAAATGTTTAAAAAAAAATGTAATTTAAATGTTTCTATTTTCTTTCACTTCGTTCAGAAAAATACAGCAGCATTCGTAAGAATCGAGAATCAAAATCCAAAATAAGATTTTCCAAGTCAACTTTGGTGTTTGTCATTTTTACATATGACAAGTCTAGTAACACTTTTCAGTTTTGTTCAGTGTTCGCATGTTATCAATAACAAAGTGTTTGGACATTTATAATAAAATATCGTTTATAAAAATGTTATTTATTAAAACAATAATGATTAAAATCATCTTCTTTATCTTATATTTGACATCGGTGCTCTCTACATATCAGAATACTACTGAAAGAAAATTTATTTACGCTACGTAAGTTTACTAAAGTTTGTTATTATGCGAATTAATTATTATTTTGGTTATAAAATGTAACCTGAATTCTTTGTGTGACACAAATATATTATGATTGTGCTTTAAATTTGTTATAAACGCAGCCAACTTAATTAAAAGTGGCTGTTATGATTTTCCAGACAGCTTTAGGGGATTCCCCATGATTTATAATGAAGTTTTTTAGAACAGCTTTTAATATTTTTTGTTCTGTAGCGGTTGGATACCTTCATACATACTTATTCTAATCAGTTTATCTTAGGTAAAGTTCTATCAGTGTGTAAGTCAAAAAATTCAAATATTTAGAAGAGAAAATTAACAGTTCCCCTGAAAGTAGTACAAAATTGTATAGTGTTTGTATATGGCACAGAATCACATTCACAAAAAGTCTCATGTCCATTGACTATTTTTTTTGTCTCAGCTAAAAATATCACCAAATATCTTAGATATGATCAATACGGTTGAGTAATGCAGGGTCAGTTTATTAAAACGTTGTGCAATAAGTTAGCTATGTCTTTGACCTTCCTAACTAGTTGCCAGACTTCCTAAACCGGATGGCGTAGTGGTTTGTGTAACAGACTGCTATTCCAAAGGTTGCGGGTTTGATTCCTGCTCAAGTAAAACATTTATATATTACACATAATTAGAAAAACTACACCCAGACACAGAACAAATGATTGTGCATATCTCACAATTGTTTGTCCTCGGTGAGAATCAATCTGTCTCTCCAGCTTAGCGGTCAGTGTCACTAACCAAGAGGCCAGTACAAATATTTTACTACTAGGTTTCAAAAGTTCACTGACGTTTATTATTTATATTATAATTTATTACAAGAAAAGAAAGTTTCATTGTTTTATTATTATTCTCTTTATTTACTTTATATACATATTATTTACATTTTTAAATATACACTTTATAAAAAAATACATTTAAAAATATAAAAAATAGTAGACCACCGACATCGGGTACAGGGACCAAGACACCGGTGGTTAGGACTCCAAAGATAGGAACCTCCTCACTATACGAGCCGTGTCAAGGAGGACTGCCTTCTGCATCAGACCCTTGATCCAGCCATCCAACGTGAGCCTCTTAAGGTGTTGGTCGAGGCTCTTGGCTATCAATCCATGAGCAGATACGACTATCGGAACAATGATCACTGAATCAACATTCCACATATCGACAATCTCGTGAGATAAATCCAAATATTTAATTTGTTTTTCTTTTTCAACTTTCACGAGATTCTCGTCATGAGGAACGGCGATATCAACAATCATTGCGCGGCGCTCTAATCGATCTATCAACACAATATCAGGCTTATTGGCAACAATAGTCCTGTCTGTGATAATAGATCGATCCCAATACAACGTGGCCCGACCATTCTCGAGAACTGGGTCGGGCACATACCTATAGTATGGCACCTCTAGATTTACAAGATGGTATTTAAGGGCAAGCTGTTGGTGTACGATCCTGGCTACTTGGTTGTGCCTGTGCAAATATTCTCCGTTAGCAAGACGAGAACAACCAGAAATAATATGCCTGATTGATTCGCCAGGACGGTGGCATGCCCGACAGATGTCAACCGTACCATCTTTCAGGATATATTTCCGATAGTTATTCGTCATGATAACTTCGTCCATAATCGCACAAACAAAACCTTCAGTTTCTCCAAAGAGATCACCATACCGTAGCCAAGTCGTAGATGCTTTTAAATCTATATCGGACCCGTTTAGGGCCCGATAAAACCGACCATGGAGCTCTTTGCCCTTCCATACTTCCCTGCGATCATTAACACCAAGTACTACAGGTCTGCGCCAATTCTCTTTAGCCAGAGCGAGCGGGGTGAAGCCGGTATCCACTGCAACTACATTGCGATGCACTCCCACGTCGGTATGTAGAAAATATTCTCTGAGATTGCATACCTCGCGATTATGTAGGGTCTTGATATTTAATAGACCGCGACCCCCAAGCTTTCGCGGGATATACAATCTCATAACTGATGAACGTGGGTGGTGCATTCGGGATGCAGTCAGCAGTGTGCGGACTTTCCTGTCAAGGGCATCTAATTCGGTCTGAGTCCATCTAAGTATACCAAAGGAATACATTAGAACCGGCATGACCCAACCATTGCAGGCTCGCACCTTGTTGCCCCCTGATAAAAGACTTTTAAGTACTTTTTTCAAGCGGCCAAAAAAGCGTTCCTGCAATGTTTGTTTCATGTTAGATTCTGGTATTCCCAACGACTGTGATATACCCAGATACTTGTAAGTTTCAGTGGCAGACAGAGATCTGAGTTTTGTTGAATCCAAAAGCTCTATTCCTTCAGATTCAACTATCACACCCTTCTTTACATACATGACTGCACACTTGTCTACACCAAATTCCATTTTGATAGAATTACTAAAGTTTTCCGTCACCTTTAGTAACTTTGTCAATTGTAATTTGTTGGAGGCTAACAGTTTCAAATCATCCATATAAAGAAGGTGAGATATAACTTGATCATCTTTCTGCAACCTATAGCCTAACCCTGAACCCTCTAATAAAGTGCTAAGAGGGTTCAAAGCCAGACAAAACCACAAGGGACTCAGACTATCACCTTGAAATATACCCCGCTCGATCTTTATTAGTACATCGTGTATCGCTGTCTGCCGACATCCTGGATAGCGAAGTGCCGTTCTCCATTGCCCCATACATGACTTCAAGAAAGTGCACAGAGTTGTATCAATTTTATACAACTCCAGCACCTTCAAAAGCCATGTGTGTGGAACCGAGTCATAAGCCTTCTTATAATCTATCCAACACGTCGCCAAACTCTTACGATTACAACGTACCTGTTGGCTAATGGTCATGTCTATGATAAGGAGGTCTTTAGTGCCACGGGTCCCACTTCTACATCCATTCTGAGAAACTGACATAATCGAATTATTATTAATATGTAAAGTAATTTTGAGTCTCAGAATAGATGTTAGAAGTTTATACATGGTAGGTAAACATGTAATAGGTCGAAAATTTTTGGGATCCATGACACTACCAGACTTATAGAGTAAGTGGGTTATGCCAGTGGTTAAAAATTGGGGTAATGAACCCGAATCCAAAGCTGCCTGGAATTGAGATGCCAAACGCGCATGTGAGCTTCGGAACCACTTAAGCCAAAAGTTGTGCAGTCCGTCTGGACCAGGTGATTTCCAATTCGGTAATGAACGAACTGCACAACTTACATCATCTTTATCAATTTTAACAGGTTCCATAGGTGTTATAGACTCACATGAGCGTCTGACATCCTGCAACCAATCACCTTCTATATGAGTGACAGGCACCGACCAGATGTTACGCCAAAATGTATTTGTGACATTTTCATCTGGCAAATGCCTATCACCCACACATGGATCCGGTTCCTCCCATTTCCGGTACACCCACTTCTCATTTCTTTGGAACATCCGATTCTGATTATACCGATCTATTCGTTTTTTATACCGTCTTATCCTATTTGCCCATGCATAAATTTTCTGCTTTAGAAAGTCTATGCGCTCTGTGACACATGACATGTACTGCTGAGGACTAATGGTAGTCCCCAAGAATGCCTGTTTCACAAAGCGCATCACTCTCGGCCGCATATTCCCTGATCGGTAGCTAATAAGCTTACCGATGAGTGTCCTGGTCTCAGCAATACGACGTTCAATTCTATACTGCCAAGCTGGTACAGTAGATTTAGGTCGAGTAGTAGTGACATTGTTAGCTATTTTAACACCAGCTACTCGACAAACTGCAATAGCCGCACAATATAGAATAGAATGTGTATCACTAAGATCTTCGCTATTATCTAAATATTCAGGCAATAACGAATCCAGGGCACCCACCAGCGCTAAATATATGTTTATATGTTTATTATTATTATTATTATTATATTTAATACACTAGCAGCTTAAGGCTGATGCGTGTATATCATTACACTTGTGCACTTAAACGTTTATCAAGTCTATTTTTAAAAATGTTAATACTCTGGGCACCTATCACAGTTTCCGGCAAAGAGTTCCACATATGCACTACTCGGTTAGGCAAAAAATTTTTCTGGGATTACTAGTACACAGGTGCTTGCTGAGCTTCATAGAATGACCCCTTAGATGCGTGTTCGGGTTCATTGTGAACATAGATTCAATATCTCTCACGTTGTAATGGTGGTTGAGTATTTTGTAGGTTTCTATGAGGTCTCCTCTCATTCTCCTCTGTTCATGTTTGTGTGGTAAAAGAATGAATCTATCCCTGAATATATCCTGAATATATCCTGAGTCATGAAGGAGTTTACAAACATAAATGGATGGACACAAAGAAAAAAAAAAAACTGCTTGGTCCATGTTGCTAGTTGCCCAACGCGCCCCGCGCGTTTGCACTCAGCTAGCGATCTAGTTTTAGAAATAAATCAATTAATGCAAATTATTATCTTTCAGGTATGCATATAACCAATTAATTAATGTATCAGTTGACAACAATATGGAACACATCATGCAGTTTTATGAGGTAATTCAACGTCACCATCTTCTGCACCACATGACTCGCTAACAGTAGGTACCCACCCTATTACATGGGTACCTACTATAACTTTTTAATGTGTTGTTACCACATGGATGTCACACTGTAGTGTGCATCCGTGTGGTGACAGAATGTCATCATCGTTATCATCTGGTGCCGTAAGAGACAACTAAGGGAGCAACGCAGAACAAGAGCACTGCAAAGAGAAGGAAAACTTGACACAAACCTTATACCAACTAGGCTGGCCAGCGTGGTGAAGGTGTGTAGCATGGTGTAGTAGGCCAAAAAATCGTTTCTAAGGAAAGGCCTATGTCCAGCAGTTTACTTATAAAGGCTGTTGATGTAATGATGGAATATGTAACTTCTTTGCTCTCGCTTTATACAGGAACGGAAGTCTGTAACAGGAAGTCTAGAAAGCGCGCGTTATTGATTTGACCAATAAGCGTGCGGTGCTAGGGCTCAATGTTTACAAAGGTCTGTATTTTTTTTTTTATGCAGTAATCGAAACAATGAAGGTTTTTTTTTGTGGTATCAGGGGCAAATAAGCAGACGGGTCATCTAATCTGCACAAAGCAGTAACTTTAGTTTCTCTTTTCTGAATTATTTCCTGTGTCCTCAGGAGTCGGACGACTGGCTGGGGTACCCCACACGAGTGCACGTGTCCACCGATGAGACACTCAACGACGTCAATCCTCTGTTCGTCACTGCTACTCAACAGAAAGGTCAGTTTTTTTTTTTCAGTAAGGGCAGAAGATTGACTTGTGATTGTGGCAAAAAAAATTTTTTTTTTGTTTTTACTTTTATGGAAGAGAGGGCAAACGAGTTCTGATAGTAAGTAACTTTTGAAACTCATATGACACAAGTGCGTTGGGGACCATTAAGTCTCCCACTCCCCCACTCCTCTCCCAATGTGTTGGGGTCAAAGGGCGCCGGATGTGGGGGTTAAGGTTAGTCCTCCGACAATCTTACTTAGGCCCGGGCTTCTCTGACCGTCCGCAGCACGCTACCGATGACTGACGCATGTCCGCAGTATATGGTATGTACTAAAATTATTAGCGCTGGGTTCTTAAGAACGGCGTCGGCGGTCAGAGAACCCCGCGGCTTAGAGGAAAGCAGCGAAAGAGTCTCTCAGGTACTCAACATCGATTTTCTGTGAGGACGTGGCATTGCTCCGGTCGAACCAGTCCATTTGTGCTGTAGTAAGGCTTGCCCGCCGTGTCTTAGCATTTGATTAATTACACCGCAAAATTTAATGGTGTGTTCACATGTGTGTTGGTTTTATATTTGTATAAATGTTTATATATTTATAACTTTATGCACTTTGTACATCGTCGGATTGAATTCCCAGGTCATTCTTGTGCACCAGGGACTTCCTTTCTAGGGTATACCTGGTTCCCCGGCTATTAGTACGGCGTGCGGTTTTAGTCGGTTCGAGTCCGACATGCCACTGATAGGTGGTATCCGAGGGGATTTCCGCACGGAAAAAAAATATGTCATTCTCTTACAGTCAACCTTTGGTGGTGTAGAAATCTTGTAAGGTAGGCAGGTTACATTTTATCGTGTTTTATAAATTATCATAATAAATTGGTGTCGTGTAATGGAACGTGTCTATGTGCAATAGTGATGTAATTGAAATTCAAAACAGTCGATTCTTTTAAATGCGATAAAAATACATTTCTTCTTATTTAAGCACTAGCTGACCCGCGCAACTTCGTCTGCGTCTCTCAATAGTAATAAATTTTCTCCGTTTTTGAAACATTCTTCATTGGTGCTCCGCTCCTATTGGTCTTAACGTGATGATATATAGCCTATAGCCTTCCTCGATAAATGGGCTATCTAAAACTGAAAGAATTTTTCAAATCGGACCAGTAGTTCCTGAGATTAGCGCGTTCAAACAAACAAACAAACTCTTCAGCTATATAATATTAGTATAGAGTATAGATAATAAATTAGTTTTGTAATGGCTAGTAAGAAAAAGATCCTTAGTTGCTCCCTGCTGCTAAATTTGTATTAGTACTGGTGGTGGACTCCGGTTTCTGTATTTAGTCGAGGAAAGGTTGGCTAGGTAAGTCAATAAAGCTCTTTCCAGAAGCGCAGAAGCCTCCTGGTGCGTTCACAGGCTTCTAGGAGCGATTTTATATCAGGTGTGATACTAACCGGTTGTGTGGCCACTCCCTCGCACTCCAGGATTACACGGGCGGTCGTTTCTTCAGCTTTGAGATATCCTCTGCAAAGTTTGTCTGTCGCCTTAATGGTGAACAGAATAGTTGTTGGATCAGGACTAAGTTAGAATCCACGCTGCTGCAGAGTTTAGATCTTCATTTGATCCGAATTTCTCAACCATTTGTCTCATCTCTATCAGTTGTGCTCCTTAGCCTGATCTGACCACCAATTGTAACTGACTCTACGTCATTTGCTATTGGTTTTGCCCAATTTCAAAGTAAAATAAAGTTTAATATTGGTCACAGCATACGACCGCTTGATGTGGCGATTGGGTGAAGCCTATGTTAGCAGCGGACGCCTTTTTTTCGAGATGATGATGATTGGTCTAAAACTCAAGGTATAAAATGGTGTACTTTTAATATTTTACAGCCCGTTGTGTGTCTTATACAAATGGCGAAATTAGTTTCAATGAAATTACGCTCACTTGACCTCAAAGTCGAAGATGTCGAAATAACAACATTTTAGGCATTCATACCAAACCTGTCGGTGAGGGTTTGTTTAAAAGTATGTGGAAAAAATTCACGCGGGCGGAGCCGAGGGCAAAAGCTAGTGTTTTTCCCCTTGGCTCCGCCCGCATGTATGTCGGTTATCGCGGTAATAGGTAGCGTATGTTACTCGGTGATAATTTAGCTTTCCATTGGTGAAAGTATTTTTAAAATCGGTTTAGTGGTTTTGGCGTGAAAGCGAAACAAACTAAAAAAAACTTAGTCACTTTTACATTTCCAATATATAAGTATGGAGGTATGGATTTCTCTTAACTGCGCTTACGATTTTTTAAAAAAAAGCTTACATATAATTCTCTACAAGTATTAATTATTAGTATTAAACTCCTAGAAGGTAGACAGAAACATGCTAAACACCCGTTAAAAGTCAGCTTGGCCTGGAAGACTGTTCTCTCCAAAAATTGTGAACTCTTTAACATAATTATATATTGTACAAATACGAGTAGTTTCATCATCATTTAATCATATTGTTTTTTTTTATGTTATTTACCAGGTGTAGCCTCTTGGGAGCTCCCTCTACTGGTACAGACACGAAAATGGGCGTTATTCTTCACAAATATGGCCCGAACTTTGTGCCCACACGACGCCGGACCAAGTATGTATTACACCTAGTTTCCCTATTACTCCCACAATTTTGATTGGCCAAAAGCTTAAATAGGATGGCCCACAAGGTGGTCCGACGAACTGGTCAAGGCTGCGGGAAGCAGTTGGATGCGGACAGCACAGGACCGGTTGTTGTGACGAATCTTGACTGAAGTATATGTCTAGCAGTGGATATCTTTAATCCGTGTGGTGACGGATTAAGAATACGGAGCGTCACCACCCCTATTCGTCATATGGGTACTGATCGTAAAAGCTGATTAAGGCAGCAAACTACGCACGACAACAGCACTGCAAAGAGAAGGAAAACTTGAAACAAATCCTATACCAACCCGTCTGTATAGTAGGCCAGTAACCTCCTGTCTAAGGAGAGACCTATGTCCAGCCAGTGAACTACTAATGGCTGTCGACGGGCCCAATAGACAGGCAATATAATTTATTTAGACGAACGGATGGCGTAGTGGTTTGTGTAACGGACTGCTATTCCAAAGGTCGTGGGTTCAATTCCCGCTCAAGTCAAACGTTTGTGTGCATAAACATTTATTGTTTGATTTGATCTGGGTGTTTCTATGTATAATATGTATGTATTTACAAAAAAAAGTATACATGTATTTATAACAGTTGTTTATTACCCATAGTACAAGCTCTGCTTAGTTTGGGACTAGATGGCGTTGTGTGAATGTGGTACAATATTATTATTATTATTTCAGATATAGAAATAGAGAACCGCCCAATGATACACGTGACCACGTCTAACCCACAGAACGTTACCGTGACCATCAAGCTGCGGAGAGTCACGGATTTCTACGTAGAAGTCAATAAAGTGAGTAATTAAATATTACTTCTATCGTGTGATTGTCTTTTTTCGTGATTCTAACTTTTAAAATGACCAACTTCCATATAACCGTTCATCTCCTATTATACCTCTATAGTGGTAAACCTCCTTACTAAGGAGAGGCCTATGTCCAGCAGTGGACTATTAAAGGCTGTTGATGTGATGTGATGTGTGGTGAAATTTCCAAAATACATTCTTAATGGGTGCTTACATCATAAAAAACATCAGTTTTGTAGCCCTAGCGGTTTAGGCTCTGCCTTGATGAATCAGTCAGACTGGATGGACTGGTAAGGAACGGGTTTTTGTAGCTCCATCACAAAGGGAGTGTCCTCTGATCAGGCGAGGTTCTTTCTTTCTTACTTTTCTTTTTAAAAAAAGACAACTCCCGCATTAGAAATAAATCCTGTGTCGCTGGAGACTTTACAAACATACATGAAACGGACACAAAGAACACCCAGACTCAGAACAACAATTTGTGGATCACACAAAGTGTCGTCCCATGTCCCCACATGGGACGACACTTTGTGTCGTACCCACAACACTCGGCGTAGTAGAAAGCGGCGTGGAGACCGCTTAAACCACTACGCCATCCGTGCAGTCAAGGTTATCATGTCTAGTGGGCCGCGACCCAACGATTGATGTTAAAAAGTCGTATATTATGCTAATCGGCGTGAGAACTTTTCATATCGCGATACAGGATTAGCATTTACTCCGTAGTTCGGCGTGTCTTCGTTAGATGGCGCTGAATTATGTAATTTGTTTTATTGTATTCAATAGTCGCCATAGGACAACAGCTGGCTAAATCTATACATTTAAAAAGCAACTAGTTGGAATGGAAATAGAATTCAATTTCGTTGAGCGCTAAATTACGACTGGTCCAGACACTACACTAGGGCGTAGTGGTTTTGTCTCCTCAGTTATTATTTGACGAATAACGCTTTTTTCAATCTGTACTTATATAGAAAAGTAGTAAGGTTTTTTTGTTTGTTTGTTTAGGAATATTTTAATTAAACACAAAAATTTAACTGAATGTAATTTTAATCTAACTTCGTTAGGTGACGGATTAAGAATACGGAATGTCACTACCCCAATTCATTCCGTGGGTATCGTAAGAGCCGACTAAGGGCACAAAACAACGCAGGAAACAACAGTTGATGTGAATAGGAGCTGGCCTATTACCTCTTTTTTTTATGTTAGAGGGGGCAGACGAGCAAACGGTTCACCTGAACGAAAATTACCATCGCCGCCTATGAACACCTTTAAGGAAGGAGTACGCTCTTTTCTTGAAGGTTCGAAGGTCGTATCGGTCCGGAAATACCACAGACGGTAACCCGTTCCACAGATTGGTTGTGCGGAACAAAAAGTCATCTTTAAGAATTCCATGGGAGAATTGAGAGTTGTAAATAAAAAGAAATGTAGATAAGATGGGAAAGCCAAAATGAGATAGAAGATTCATTGAAGAAGTAACGTCACACTACCGCCTTAGGAGCGGGGCAGTGACCATCAAGGTCAAAACTGTAGTCAATATCTAGTCAATAATAAAGAACACATATGAAAGAATTAAAATTATAATAGTTTATATCTTTACACAGCCTTTAACCCTCAACGTGACTCCGAGCACTCCCAAGTATTACTACTTCTCTTTTGACAAAAACCCCTGGAATGTCACCAGTGGTGTTCACAACGTTAACAGGTTAGTAATTTTAATAATAAAGTCACACATCTGACATACAGCCATCTGATCCCAAACTAGGGAGTACCTGTACTGTGGTAACCAGACTGCTGATAAACGTACTTATATATTTCTAAATACGTACATATTTATAGATAAATTACACCCAGACACATACACACAGACAGAATTATTGGTCCTGGGTAGGAATCTAAACCCACGAAGAAGAGAACTCTGTTCTCAATTGGACTGCTTAAAGTTGATATGGAGAAGACCTGAAAAAAAATACTATTTACGTCCTGGCTTCACCATCAGATCATCATCAGACATGGTTTCACGTGTCTATTTACTCCTTGAAAAGGTGTCCACATCGGGCCCGAAGCCCACTGTCCATTGTAAGAATACTGTAAAAGTACCTCATTCACGGTTTCTTGCGACCAATTTAGTTGGTATGTTAAAATGATTTGATGACCATTGTTGGCAGCTTTTGGCTCCAATGTTGGCTCGTACCGAGGTTGCTCTTTTAAAGAGTGGGACCGAATGGTCTAATCCTATAGTAAAACATGACTTATGGCCTCTGCCTACAGTATATTATGTATATATAGTACAGTATATTACGTATGTATGTATAGTATTTATGTATAAATATAGATTATTAGTATTTATGTATAAAAAAATATTTACTTCTCTACTTTATGTATACCTATCACCAGTTCAAAATGAATCCATCCAAAGGTTGCCTGGAAGAAATTGCACTAAGCGATAAGGCCGCCCTTTGTACATTACATTGGTCGTTAATTACTGTATAATGTCTGTAAAACATTGGTGTACAAATAAAGTATTTATCTATCTATCTATATTTTTTAATGTTACTAAATAATTAAAAGATATTACTAAAAACTTTAATCAAACTGTTTTTTTTTTTAATTTTGTTATTTATTTGGACATCGTGAAATCGTATCTCCTGTAATCGTTTAAAAAAAAAACAATTCTAAATTCATGGTTTTTGTATTCACATAACCCCCACGAAAAAGGAACGTTAACTGTACACACGTAAAAAAAAACCGTATGATTATCATCATCAACCTATCGGCGTCCACTGCTCAACGAAGGTCTTTCCCAAGGATTGCCAACCAGGTCTTGGGCAGTCCGTATCCATCCGCTGCCAGCCAATTTCTTAGGTCCATCGTATATCCATACGTCTATTACAAACGTTAAAGTGAGTTCGTTTGTTTGTTACGCTTTCACGCCTAAACCACTAAAAAGACTTTCACCAATGGAAAGCTACATTATCAGCGAGTAACAAAGGGTACTTTTTACCGCGAAAACCGAAATACACGCGGGCGGAACCACGGGCAAGAGCTAGTCTTAAATAAATTCATCAAAATCATAATGAGCAGGTTCTATTGCCAACAGATTGAACTACACCATACCCAAGAGTGTTGTTCTGATGATAGACTCTGACGACGAGATCTGCGCCACCGTTTCCATACAAAACAACTCGGTAAGTGAAACATCCACTATTGAACGCTTGTGACCAAAAAGCTGTGTAGGAACGGGTCATCCTCCAACACAAAAAGAGGATCCTCCGACCAGGCGAGGAGATCATGCCAGGCGGGCAGTTGATGTGGCAAGGGAATTGTTCATATTGCGATACAGGATTAACAGTTTCTCCATAGTTTGGTGTGTCTACGTTAGATGGCGTTGTAGTATGTTTTTGTTTCGTGGTGGTGGAAGTCGCCACAAACCAACTTTTATGACATAGGGGACAACTGAGCAGGCGGGTCAACTGATGGTAAGTGACTACCGCCGGCAATAGATACGAGTGAGTTGCCGCCCTTTATGTTCTAGGGAGCCGTTAGCTATTTAACCGGCAACGCAATTCTGACTCGAGTTTTAAATGTCCGATTTTTGAGTGTAGATACTTAACTAGTCGGGCGACTCCAATTTGAGCAGTAATCGGTCGTACTTATTATATATATATGTTGCAGTGTCCCGTGTTTGACAATGAAAATGACGCACTGTACAAAGGGTACCATCTCACTATGACTACTAAAGGAGGTATCACACTGACTGTAAGTCGCATTTTTCTTTAACAAAATTACTTTTTTTTGTCTTTGAGCTGCCGGCAAAGCTACTTTAAGAATACGTTCGTTTCGGTTATGTAATTCACGAGTGCGTTGTCTTACCCAAGAGCAAAGTTGGTGGAAAGACGGGGAGGGTGAACTAGGGTCAGGGACCCTGTAAGTCTCTGATGGGAGACTAGAGGCAACTCGAACAGCGATATCTCCGACACAAATACTTTTATAATTAATTATAGTACACATTCGCTTTAAGAAAATAGTAACGCATGGATCAAGCCCCGCCCCCTAACCGAAGATACCATGAATTTATCGTTTCACTAGCTTCTGCCCACAGCCTCGCCCTCGTGGAAATCGGTAACCGTGATCCTTTTTTCGCCTGGTTTATATAGCATTAACAATAATAGTTATATTTCAGTCAATTTACATAAAACCATCATGAATTATACACCTAAACCTTCCTAAGGAATCACACTATCTATTGGTGAAAACCGTACAAAAATATGTTGTATAGTTTTTGAGTTTATCGCGTTTTTATAGACAGATAGGAACGGATGCCGAAAGTTTGGAACCTGATGATTGGTCTAGGTGCGGGACTCGATTGAAACGTAACGATTCGCTACTATAACGCAAATGGACTTTAAGGGAGCAAACTACGCAGGACAACAGCACTGCAGAGTGAAGGAAAACTTGACCCAAACCCTATACCAACCCGTCTTGCCAGCGTAGTATAGTAGGCCAAAACCTCCTTCGTCTTCCTCGAGCCTCCTTTGGGCTTCAGCTGAAAATCAGCGCTGTAGTCACTTTTAGGGACTATAGCATAGGCTGAGTTGTGGCCCTTTAATCACACACAGTGATCATTTTATTCTTTTGTACTTGTTTGTTTTTGTTTGTGCTATTCTTCAGTTCAGCAAATTGTTTCTTTTCTTTTTCCCTTCTATGTTATATCTGTAATTTCTTTTTGTTGTGTTTGTGTTGTGATTAATAGACGTATTTTCTTTCTTCTTTCTTTCTTTCTTCCTAAGGAGAGGCTTATATTATGTCCAGCAGTGGACTATTAAAGGCTGTTGATGTGATGTAAAATGGACTTTAATGTTTGTACAGCAATCGATGTACCCCAGCGGGTTCTACATTGTGTTCATAGTGAAGGAAAGCGATGATGAGTGTACGGGCAACATCGAAACAACTCCCTTCAACCAGAACAGGCTGAAGAATTTCACGTGAGTTTTCATATTGACACCAAACTTCCAAATAGTTCATTTTTTTTAAAGACAACTCCCGCATTAGGAATTTATCGCAGGGGACTTTACAAACATACATGAAACGGACACGAAGAACACCAAGACTCAGAACAACAATTTGTAGATCACACAAAGTGTCGTCCTATGTGGGGATCGGACCCACACTACTCAGCTTAGTAGTAAGCGACGTGGCGACCGCCTAAACCACTACGCCATCCGTGCAGTCGCCGTGCCGTGCATTGACTATGCAATACTGTAGAAATTGTAAAAAGTGAATATTGCAGGATGTCACGAGATTTTGAACTTTATTTCTATCAGCATAATATCGGAAATAGATTGTCGCCCAAAGTTGTTTACATTTAAAACGACCTAACTTTACTTCGATATTATGTACTATTGTTAATTTAATCTCAATATAAATCATGGTAATGTTGTACGGGAAAATAAGTTCAATATGGTTTTTAAACATTTAAATTGGTAGATAATGATGCTAATTTTGTTGTTCGAAACTCTCTGAACTAAACGAAAAATCACTAAAAATTTGTTTAGTCCTGTCAAATACTACGTTTTTAGAATAGGAAACGTTATTTGACAGAACTAAACTAATTTTTAGTGATTTTTAATTTATTTTAGGGAGTTTTTGAACAACAGAATAAGCACCAATGCAGTATAGATAATTCAACTCAGTTGTGTGGCAGTGACGTGGCAGTCGTCGTCCGAGCACCGCGTCACTGCCACACGAATGAAAGTTGTATATTTACAAGCCCACGCACACATAGGGCCGCGCGCATAACTGAGATGAACTTTCTATACTTATTTGTTTGTCTTATAAGTAATAAACTACTAATGATTTTTTAAGCTGGCAACACTTTTTTTGTTTTACCACATTCATACAACGCCATCTAGTCCCAAACTAAGCAAAGTTTGTACTATGGCTACTAGACAACTGATATATGTAAATACATATAATATATATACAAATAATATGTTGGATGATATGAGAGCAAATAACGCACAATTTGATTTATCTAAAAATAGAAATATTTAATGTTATTATCACATTACAATACTCAAATTAATTGAGATCAAATGGTTACACACACAATATACTAACCTAAAAATAGAAAAATCGACAATTAAAGGTTTTTACTTCCAATATTTTAGTAGATCAACACTCTTACTAAACTTAATAAATTTATGAAATTTACTTCTTATCAAACAAATAATAAAATCAAATAACTCACTTCACGAGCAAGCTTATAATCTACTACGTCTCATAAAACACTCTTGAATCTATCGTCCATATTGTAACGTCATACTTTAAGGCTGCGTTCACATAGTAAAGTATTAAGCTACGTACCCAACATACAGTATACAAAGCTTACATATATATATATATATATATATATATTTTGTAAATATATTCATATTATACACTGGGAAACCCAGACTAAATGAAACATTAAATGTTTTGAATGAGCCCGCGACTTTTGGAATAGCAGTCCGATACACAAACCACTACGCCATCCGGTCGTCACCTTACCTTCTTAATAATACTTGTGTATGACTGCACAGATGGCTTAGTGATATAAGCGGTCGCCTCGCTACTTCCTAATTTGCTGAGTGTTGTAGGTTCAATCCCCGTATGCGACAACACTTTGCCTGATTTACAAATTGTATAAATATAGTCAGGATATTATCCTAGTGCGGGAGTTGTAGTAGTACAGTACTTTGCAGGCCATTGTAGTAGAATGGTTATGGCGTTCACAGTTTCCGGGTAGTTCCGACGATCTCGTACAAGGAGTACGTGGTGGGCGCGCTGGTGACGCTGGCGCTGCTCGGGGCGGTGGCCGCGCTCGTGCTGCTCGCCGTGCTGCTGCCGAACAACTGCAAATGTTCAGGTAACTGCACTTATGTATTTACGCTACTAATTATAATAGGGGGTGTGGAGTTGAAACCCTATACCGCCTTAACAGATATGTATGTGGTAACGAAAATCCTGACATCGTCTGAACATTTCTAGGAACACTAAACGTTCATTTTTTTGTGGTAAGGAGGTGGGGAGGGGGGGGGGGGGTGAAACGAACAGACGGGTCATCTGAGGATAAGTGAACACCTGTTACTTAAAAGTCACAGGTGCGTTGTCGCCGTTTGACTCTCTAATCTCCGAATCAAGGGGTAAAGCAACGAAATTCTTTCTTAACACCAGTTTTCTGTGAAGCCTTGGAATCACTTCGATCGAGCTTCTCCCATGGCTCTCTCACTGTCTGATCTTGGATAGGTTTTAGTTTAACCTCACCGATACCTTCTAAGTTATTGTGCGAAACTATGGGTCACACATGGTGTTATTGGGTCTATTGAAAGAAACCCAGGATACCCTCAAATATATTTTTTTTTTTCATAAAATTGGTAAACAATAATTCGAAATCATCCATTTCTCTTTTTAAATCATTAAAATTATTAATGAACACACGGAAATGACCTTAACAACAGATTGACCACCTAAATTAATAATTAATAATTATGCCTTTTGCCCACCCACTATTGTTTTTGGTAGGGCAGTGTGTCGGAATCGAACCGATTGAAACCATACGGTTTACCTTACAGCGTTTAGAAGCGGTTTAGAATACTTTGGCTGCCTGTGCCAATCTATACCCATCTATTTCCAACTGGTTGAACGTTGTCAGAAATTATTTATCCAACAAACAAATCTAAGAAGAGAGAAAAGCCCCTCGTCAAGAAGTCTCCTAGAAAGCCTAAAGATTAAACTAACTTTTTATTTTCAAAACATAATCTAAATTTAAATAATTCAACTCCAACAGAAGAAGTTATCATCATAGAAGAGGAACCGATCATCCAAGCGTCCACATCAGGCGTGAGTGCCAGTGCGAGCGGAGAGCGGAGCGGCGAGCAGAGCGGAGAGCGGAGCGATCCAGCGGGGGCGGGCGACATGCCTGCAGCGATAAACGGCGACAGTGATGTCGTCGAGGAAGTGGTAGAAGGTCAGGTCTATAGCCTTAGTGACATTTTGGACTGTTCTGTTAATCTAGTGGTCAGGATCCTGACTCTGAACCATTTAGATCTGGCTCGAAGGACCACTGTTGTACATTGTCCGTATATTATTGTTATATATGAATTAGTCATTTTTATTTGATTGGAGGTGATCATGACGATATATTATTTTTGTATTAGAAGACGAGTGGTCCCGCTTTAACCCGTTGACCGTCCATCGGCTGACCCGCGCTCCTCCTGAGACCTTGGCCAGGAGATCAGACAGGTAACTACGATTTTTTGTTTACCATTAGGAGTTGAGCAATAACCTTAAATGCTAGTAAATCCGCGCTGGACGGACTGTTAAATAAATATCTACAAACTGTAATATTATTGTATTGTTTTCTGTACAAAAAAACAATACAATAATAACCACTAATTTACTCACAAAAGTTTAAATTATTATGTACGCGTTTTGCATTTTATAATGTCAGTTTTGACCGTAACCAAACGTGACACTGTCAAAGTGACATTTGGTTTAGCGAGCTGCGTTCGGATACACACATGTCTTTTATCTTCATTTAAAGTCTAACGTAAAATATGTATGTATTAAGAAATATATAACTATGTTTATCAGCAGTCTGGTCACCATAGATCAGACAGTCCCTCTATAGGGCGATGCTAACGAAATGAGCTCATCCACAAATGTACGTTGTTCAGATACTTCTGGGGCGCGCTGACAGTGGCGGTGGTGTACTCCTTACCCGTCGTGCAGTTGCTGTTCACCTACCAGATGGTAAGTTATATTTTTCAACATCATATTTCAGCTTCATCAGGATGCCACCAGTGAACATCCTGATCCAGGCGATCTCAGATGATACAACAGTGGGTTCACGTAGTTGTGGGTAGACGGAGACTTCATCAAATCATCAATTTAGAATTACCCGTCTGTTATTTGTTCTTTTGCTCCGTGTGATGCTGTGATGCTTTTGCTCCCTTCACCCCTAAAAATACATTTATACCTAAGAATACTGTTACGTGTTAGTGTCGTAATTTTTTTAAATCTGCTCGTGGTAGAAGGCTCCTGGACTCTCACTTATCTAACAAACTCTTTCGTAGATGGTAGTCCAGACTGGTAACCAAGACCTGTGCTACTACAACTTTCTGTGCGCGCATCCCCTCGGCTTTCTCTCCGACTTTAATCATGTGTACTCCAACATTGGGTATGTGGTACTGGGAGTGATATTCTTGGCCCAGGTCCGCCACAGACAGCTCAAGAGCAGGAAACAACCGCAGGTATGTGTTTAAGCGAACTTTTATATTGTTTTTTAGTTCGTCTGATGGTTTAATTAAGAGAAAAAAGGAGGAGGGGGTGGAATATAGCTTAAAAAGAAACGGCGCTGTCTGTTTTGGGTCTTAGTAACGCTGTGTAATATATCTCTTAATATAATTTCTTTAACACCTTTCTAGCTATACACATTTTGCAGGACATGGGCATCCCACAGCACTTTGGTCTGCTGTACTCCATGGGGTTAGGGCTGGTTATGGAGGGCCTCCTGTCTGCTAGCTACCATCTCTGTCCTAACAAGATGAACTTTCAGTTTGGTAAGTGAAAAAACTCACAAATTTGTTTGTGATATAGTTTATGAAAGCAATAACTCTGTTCATTTTTTACTGCACAAAACTGTTAAGTTTTCTTCCAGGTGACAAATTGACTTCAAAGGGAAGAAATAACAAAACATTTGGTCCTTCGAATAGTGTTCCAAAGAAGTAGCAAAACATTTGGTCCTTCGAACGTGATTACTTATATAGATTAGAATACTTTGTTGCTGTTTATCTTTTGATTTATTAATTACGACGATATTTCTGGGCGATCACAATTGATTATAATTTTTCTTACTAGATTCTTCATTCATGTACGTGATAGCGGTGCTGGTGATGATCAAGTTGTACCAGAATCGCCATTCCGACATTATTCCTAACGCGCACACCACTTTCATGGTGATTGCCGTTGTCATGACAATATGTGAGTACAACATTACCATTCTATAGCTTACACTCCACAATCTATCTGCCTAGCTCCTCGATGATATAAGCGTGATTGTATCATCAACACATCACATCAACAGCCTCTAAGAGTTTGGACTCTTGCTGGACATAGGCCTCTCCTTAGAAAGGAGATTTTGGCCTAATATACCACGCTGGCCAGACGGGTTGCTATAGGGTTTGTTTCAAGTTCGGCCCATGTCGTGCGGTGTTCCGGGTCTGTTCTAGGACCACTCCTGTGGAACATAGATTACGACTGGGCCCTTCTAGGTCGCCTCCCCCCCGGGCTGGGCGTTATTTGTTACGACGATAACACGCTAGCTACAGCCCGGTGAACCCCGGTGGGTGACGGCCCGAGGGGGTTTCCACACGTAAAAAAAAGGGTTTGTTTCAAGTTTGCCTTCTCTTTGCAGTGCTGTTGTCTTGCGCAGTCTGCTCTCTCAGTCGACTCTTACGACACTCACGGGATGAATAGGGGTGGTGACACTCCGTATTCATAATCCGTCACCACACGGATCGCGTGAGTGTATGGCTAATATTATTTTGTATATCATCCCACAGGTCTGTTCGGTATTCTATTCCCGAGCGTGTATTTCTCAGTGGCGTTCACCATGATGCACCTACTGACTTGTTTCTTACTGACTGTGAACATATACTACGCCGGAGAGTTCACAATGGGTATGTACAATTTTTATATTTTAAACTAGCTGACCCGCGCAACTTCGTCTGCGTCTCTCAATAGTAATAAATTTTCTCCGTTTTTGAAACATTCTTCATTGGTGCTCAGCTCCTATTGGTCTTAGCGTGATGATATATAGCCTATAGCCTTCCTCGATAAATGGGCTATCTAACACTGAAAGAATTTTTGAAATCGGACCAGTAGTTCCTGAGATTAGTGCGTTCAAACAAACAAACAAACAAACTCTTCAGCTTTATAATATTAGTATAGATTTATTTACACATCATGCACTTTTGGTGCGTTGGCGGACATAATGCCTAAGGCATTCTCTACCAGTCAACCTTTGGTAACCAGAGAAAACCGACAACTTTTATTTATTATATACCCCGTAACAATACATACTGCGCCGTCCCCAAATAAAATTGGAATAAGGGTAGGCAGATGATTATGAAATACTACTTTTTTTACCAACTGTTTCGTTCACGTCAATGTCGATTTGTCAATCAATTTTTCCTTGATACCAGCTAGTTATTGACTGCACAGATGGTGTAGTTGGTTTAAGCGGACACCTCGCGCCGCATTCTTGCGCTGAGTTTTGTGGTCTCGATCCCCACTTTGTGTGATCCACAAATCGTTGTTCTGAGTCTAGGTATTCTTTGTCTCCGTTTCATGAATGTTCTATGTGTCAACCAGCGTTTTTTTATTATTGTAATTTCCATATACCTAGTGTCACTCTTACAGTTAAGACGAATTTAACGACACTTTAAATGACAAAATTTATTAAGACATTTAGACGACAGAGCGTGCCAAAAAAATACACCTTATTATGCGCAGTCGGGTAATAAAGTTCCGTACCTCAAAAGGTAAAAAAGGAACCTTTTTGAAATCACTTTCTTGTCCGTCTGTCCGTGTGTCACTACCGATGTTCTCAGGAACGGGTAGACCTAGCAAATTGAGTTATAGTAAAGTTAAGACTTTACTTATAGCACGTTGATATATCAATAGATAACTTATTATAGTTGAGGTAGAAAAACTCGTCATTTTTTAATAAAAGATTTAGTCTGAAATCTCAATTTTATTTGTGACACCCTTAAATACGAATTAAATAAAAAAAATATAAAAGTATTACCACTCCCCTTCTAGCGTTAATCCTCCTCGTCCTTTCTTCCTCATTCCTTTTTAGGAATATCAGGAAAAGTTAGGTAACGTTTCTCTTACACCTCGTACACACGAGGTTCCATTTCGGTGCGACAAAAAGAAGTAGATTAAAGTGGACACCCCCCTCAGAGTGGTCGTCGCTACGTCGCGGGTGGTCGCGCGTGCGGCGGCGGGGGCTCCGCGCGCTGCGCCCCGCCCACGCGCTGCGCGCCGCGCTCATCGCGCTCGCCAACCTCGCCAACTGGTCACTCGCTATATACAGGTACGTTGGCCTTCACTTATTTTCTTCTTCGACAGGTTACTATACCTGAAACCATACGTCGGCTCAAAAAGCGGCGCGACGTATTTGACGCCTAGAGGGTTTCTAAAATTCCAGGTGAACACTAGGATAGGGCAAGCTCCATTGGAAGCGACGCCCTGAACGCCGACGGTGCCTCGTCTGCTTATAGTCACAATATGACTGATCGCAAGTTCTTCTGGTACTTTGCTCGCTTCTCCCATCCTATTCTATCGTTCCCTTCACTGTCTATTCCCTTTCTCGCCATACCCTCTATCACGGAGTTCCTGCTATATCTGATGCGGGGGGACATTGATGGGCACGAGACGAAAGAACAAAAAAGATAGTTGCACTTATGAAAGAGCTGTAGTTAAAAAGAAATTAAGCAGTTCGAAGAATAAAAGGAAATTGAAAATGAATTATGAAGACCACGTTGAGGACTACGAAGACGTTGATGATGATAGCGGCAATCGAGACAACGCTGATGATGACCGCGAGTACTACGTGGATAAAATCCACGATAACGGCAGTGATGATGATGATGATAATGGTGATATTATGTTGGACATACCTAGTTCTTTATTTCTTTTTAAAATGACAACGCCCGCATTAGGAATAAATCCTGTGTCGCGGAGGAGTTTACAAACATACATGAAACGGACACAAAGAACACCCAGACTCAGAACAACAATTTGTGGATCACACAAAGTGTCGTCCCATGTGGGGTTTGAACCCACAACACTCGGCGTAGTAGGAAGCGGCGTGGCGACCGCTTAAACCACTACGCCATCCGTGCAGTCGTGCTACCTAGTGTTAATTAGTTTTGATGATGCAGCGCAACAACTCACAACAAAGACCTGGCGCGCCAACTCCTCGCCATACTGATGGGCAACGCGATCATGTACACGCTGTTCTACGTGGCTATGAAGCTGGTCCACAAGGAGAGGATCGCCGTCCACACCTGGATATACTTCGTGCTCACACACGTCGCCTGGTTCTACGCTCTCAAGCTGTTCCTTGACTCGAAGACCAAGTGGTCGGTGAGTAGCAACGTTTACCAAAAAAAAAAACACTTGATGCAGATTTTAATTAAAATATTTTTTGGAAGGCTGACAACACATCGTCATCATCATAAACAGCCTTTACTAGTCCTCTGCTGGACATATGCCTCTCTTTAAAAATGAGGTTTTGGCCTACTATACCACGCTGGCCAGACGAGTTGGTATAGGGTTTGTTTCAAGTTTTCCTTCTCTTTGCAGTGCTGTTGTCCTGCGTAGTTTGCTCCCTTAGTCGACTTTTACGACACCCATGGGATGGATAGGGGTGGTGACTCTCCGTATTCTGAATTTGTCACCGCACGGAATACACGATTGGCAACACACTTGTAATAAATGAAAATATTAATAATAAAATATTTTTGGAAACAAAAGGGGAGAGCTATGGTACGGTACAAATGGGTTGGTTTGAGCGGGGTGATACCACGGCCTCACAGAAAACCGGTATTAAGCAATTCTTTCGTTGGTTTTCACCGAGTGCGTGAGGTTACTGGTGACAACCCTCCCCCCTCCCTTTTCTGGGGGTAGAACTAAAAAAGCGACAACGCACTTGTGACTCTTGAGTCACAGGTGTCCATAGGCTGCGGTAATCACTTACCATCAGTTGATGGGCTTACAGGGACAAGGTGCAGATGGGGTCTGCACCTTGTCCCTGTAAGCCAAAAAACAATGTCTTCAAATAAACATTAATGCAGGAAACGCCGGCCTCCTCCCGACGTCACAACGCGGCGTGCTCGGCGCTCGAACTGTTCGACTCACACGACGAGTGGCACGTCGCCTCCGCCACCGCCATGTTCCTCAGCTTCAACCTGCTCCTGACCCTCGACGACCTCACTGTCGACACGCCCCGGGAGAACCTGAAGACCTTCTAGCTCGTCCCCTTTTTACTCAGAAAAGAATAGTTTGAGGTAGGGCATTTACTTCGCCACGTTATCATTAATATGGATAAGACTCAAAATCTCGGGATGAGATTCTGGAGATACGTAACAAACTCCTCAAAAAGCTTTAGTCATAACTACATTGATTACAGTATATTTATAATAATGTGTGTTATACTAATTAACGTAGCTATATATTTTATTGACACTCTTGGACAATTAAATGCAATATTTTGTAAAGGCTGACATTATACTGTTGTAACTTAGATAAATGATAAATAGGTAAAAAATAAAATTACCTCATCATGACTCAACCATCTACAGGTATGTCCATCTAATCTAAGAGGTACCGTTTGACAGTTCTGACAGATTGAAGAATAAGGAATTGGTCAAAGAAATCGATTGCTACAATATTGACGACCGGGTGGCGTAGTGGTTTGTGTAACGGACTGCTATTCTAAAGGTCGCGGGTTCGATTCCCGCTCAAGTTAAACATTTGTGTGCATGAACATTTAATGTTTGATTTGGTCTGGGTGTTTCTATGTATAATATGTATGTATTTACAAAAAAAAGTATATATGTAGTTATATCAGTTGTCTAGTACCCATAGTACAAGCTCTGCTTAGTTTGGGACTAGATGGCGTTATATATTATTAGTGTATGATAGGATTATGTACGCATATATGATATTATAACTACAAACAAACTTCAATCAAAATGCACCTACTTCCTGTTCTCTCACCATCACCCAAAGGTTGACTGGTAGAGAATGCCTTAGGTATTAAGTCCGCGAATGCACCAAAAGTGCATGATGTATAAATAAATAAATAAAATAAAAAAAAGTATGAAACGTCAAACGGTACCTCTTAGATTAGATGGACTATAGTTAGAAGGTTGTATAATAAAACGCAGTTCAAAGGTTATATATATATATATATGTACAATGCAAGTTAGAAATATTGATTTGATTAAAAATTATTGATTATTTCAAAGATTTTTTTAAATTTAAGTGTTTAAACAAAGAGAACAATTTCTATTGGAAATGTGGACACTAAGTTGATTAATAACTGTTGACTGAATACAAAATATATTGACATAATATTAAAAAATAACTTTTAAACGATTGCGTTCTATAATATATAATTATGTTTACGGGAGACGTGCTCATTACAAGGCATTAAGTATATTTGAATTGCCTGACGTTTCGACCAGAAGGCAAATTCTCGTAAAAGGGAAAAGTTCGGTCTCAATTCAGTTCCGATAAACTTTCGATCTCACAACTGTCATAAAAGGTATTTTTGTAGTAAAGTATTAAACATCCAACGTTGACTGTAATATGATTATATCGTATTGTAACCGAAAATTGAATCAGTAATCTGCAAGTCTTGGTAATACTTTACTATTTTACTACAAAAATACCTTTTATGCCAGTTGTGCGATCGAAAGTTGATCGGAACTGAATTGAGACCGAACTTTTCCCTATTACGAGAGTTTGCCTTCAGGTTGAACTGGCCGCAGTCAAAAGCTGTCGGGAGCGCGGTTTAATCCCGTAAACATAAATATATAAACATGAGACTCCGTCATAGACTGAATCGGTGGTGCAGTGGTAAAGTATGCGCCTGCTTTACTGAGGTGTCGGGTTCGATTCCCGGGTCGGACCAAATATTTGTATGATCTGCAAATATTTGTTTCGGGGTTTGGGTGTTTTCTATGTAGATATGTATATAATGTATTTACAAAAAAATAAATATTCCATCACTCAATCTAACTTTCGTAGTACAAGCTCTGCTTAGTTTGAAACTAGATGGCGCTTTGGGTCAGTTGTCCGAAACATGGATCTAAACAATTGGAATTATTTTTTCTGTGTATTTTAATAATTTTAAAATATTTTATGTATTGGTACCTATCCCTCGTCCTCCAACCATTCTCTCTCATGCATCACTCATGCTCCTATTTATCCATCATTCAGCGACGTTCCACCCCAGTCTTTCTTACATAGTTAACATTAAAGAAATTATTTTCTTTTAATTAAATATTAATTGTGCATGGGGAAGTGGCTTAAGCGGTTACCTCTTTGTGTGATCCACAAATTGTTGTGAGTCTGAATGTTCTTTGTGTGTGTTCTTTCACAGGAAATATTCCCAGTGCCAGTTCCAGTTGTATTTTTTTAGCAAAAAAATAAACAAACAGATCTTTGAATATATTTCACTAATTAAAAACAAAAAGCTTTCCATAACCTAGTCAATATGTTATAAATGAAAAAATTTCATTGATTTTATTACTATTGACATGGAAGAATCATCCTGTCTATTTACAGTAAATAATACAGGTTATAAAAATAAAAGATTATATGGCACTAGCCTTTGCCTTCGTCTCCGCCTGCATGTGACCAATGCCATCGCGATGAAAAGGTTTCTTCTTTTCTAAGGATTCTTTTCTCAAAAATCTCAACGGTTACCGATTTCCCATACAAACTTCTACCCCCGTTTTTACCCCCTTAAAGAGTGATTTCCGGGATAAAAACTGACCTATGTTCTTACATAGTGCTCAAACTATCCTATACCTAATCGACGACACCTATTTAGTTCATCTAAATCGGTTCAGCGATTTAAGCGTGAATAGGTAACAGACACAATTTCGCATTTATAATATTAGTACGGCATGTCCATAATAATATAACCTTATAATAATCATCATACATTTTACTGCATGTAAAGATATTATTATAATTACAATTTTATCGTGGAGAACTCTGCTTAGGCACACAAGGACCAGACTCCACCGGAGTGACACCACATTTCTCATAATCTTCCAGTGAACATTTATTGATAATGGTTTTTACACAACTTGTAGCATAAAACTTTAAAATATGTTAAAAAATATGTATGGTGTTTTCTATGTATGTATGTATTAAAAAAAAGGAATAACAGTATTCTATCAGTCAATCTAGCTTTCATAGTACAAGCTCTGTATAGTTTGAAACTAGATGGCGTTGTGTGTTTAACTATGTGACATGTTAACATTATGTGAATAAGGTCACATTGGCTATGAAGACACGTTGGCCTGTCGTAGTACAAATATCTAACTAAACAATAGTTGTTCAAGTTTAACTGGTAAATGAGAAAAAAAACAGGAAATTCAAAATCAAATTTGACAAATTAGGGCTCAAAATTACTAGGAAATATTAAATTTAACGATATTTTTGTTCAAACTTTATTAGAAAAAAAGGTTGGATGCTGTCACGTTTTTGGTATATTTATGTATGTTGGCAACACTTGCTTAATGCTACCATAAGAGAAAAAAAGTATTTGCACAAAAGAGACTGAAAAATATTGAATTTGTATGTGGTCTCAAGTTATGCGTAATTTATTCATTTGCTCCTTAGAACTTAGTTTAAGTAACATACATGTATATTATAATGAATATGTTCTAAACGCTAAATACGTAAACGCAATGTAATGTTATTAAGTAAGTATATACTTTACTGTTATATTGTATTCATGCAAATAATTGTAAGCAAAATCGAAGATAAATTTCAGACTACCCACACATACAAAAAAATAAGTTGGCATCGTGTACTAATTTAAACACTGAAGTTGATGAAACGAATTCGTATTATTTTGACGGTACACGGTACGAACTCATGTACTTTTACTATGCATGGGACGAATTGGTGTCTGTTATCGATGTATTGGACGAAATAATGTCGTTTGAGTTCTACACCCAGAGTTCTACAGCAAAAGAGAGGACATACAAACTAAAATGACGCTTAGACACAAAGATAGACTTAATTTACCAGCTTCCCGACTCAAAATGCACTCATACAGCCCATTTGTAATGTCCATAAAAATATACAATCAGTTACCTAAAACCATAAAACAAGAAAATAAATATAACAGTTTCACAAAAAAATTAAAACTCTTTCTTGTAAGTAAAAGCTACTACAGCATAAGATAGTATTTTGAAGATAGAATTCTAAAATAATAAAATTCATAAATTATACAACTCTTATGATAAATAATAAATAAAATATTAATTCCTCTCTCCCAAACAAACTGTGCTGCGTCAGGGTCCATAATTGTTACTATATTTAAATTGATATCACCTATGCATTTACATTGTGGAAGCAATAAAGTATTGAGTATTGACGTTTGAAGGGACGACATCGTGTCGGTTTAGGATGCGCAGGAGTAATACGTGCCGGAATCGTCCCATTCTGATGTGTGAATAACTCCCATGTTGAAGTGTGTATAACTTAAATATACATACCGCTTTTGCTACTTTTGTATGAAGTTATCTCGTAATTCTAAGTGTATTGTTTTAATTTAATTGTAAGTTTAAATGTGTTACCAAATTAAATATTTTTATAGACTATGATATCAGGAAGTCATTAATTATACTGTTTTAATATACAAACATATTTATTATTTGAATTTTAACATATGTACTCGTAGTTACTGAACATTTTTTTTTATTAAGGTATTAGAAAGGCGATCAAGTGCCGCTGTTTATATTTTTAATAAGTCAATATAAAGATAGTGATGTGACGGATCGTTAAAAATGGTTATCCGCGTATACCAATCTCAAGTTTCTGCTCGATTAATGATGATGCGGGTGGCTGTAGAAAAACAATTGCATCGTGAGTTAAATAACACAGCATGTTAAGATTTGCACTGCGCTTGTTTTTTTTAAATAAATATTTTAATACACATATCGTCTAGATCAGAAGTTCGATCTCGTTATAAACCTAATAAAATAACCTTATGACTATTACTAATATACTAGGATCAACAGTAGTGACCCACGAACACACCGAGTCAAGACACTCGGGAAGTGTCAGGAAAAGTTAAACTGTCTTGGAATTGAAACGAAACTAATCAAATATCATTTGGCGGAGTTGGAAATATAATAAATCTACTTCACCCCTTAGCAAAGCGGGGAACAAAAAGGGCACACCCTATTAATCAGGGAATATTTGGAGCTATATTTGATTT